TACTAGACAGGACACAAACTGATAATCCTCATTTTGTCTGGATGGTGTGTAACGTTAGAAAACCTGTTAAAAAAAAAAAAAAAAAAAAAAGATGGAACATTAATCCCTAGGCAAGTTTGCCTTAATGAGAGGTAGCAGCTGGCTGTTGATAGGTTGAGGTCTGGGTAAGAACAAAAGAAATTGCCCCCTCTTGTGATGTTTTGTTCTCATCACAGAACTTTGATAAGAGAAATGCTCTACCATACTGCAGACAGATCTTATATTCTGAAAATACTGTACGTACAACTGGCCTTGTACTGAAGGGCTGTGGGACCTAGAGCTTGAATCATTCATTGCCTGTACAAAATACTTTTATGTAGCACTCTCTAGAAGGCTATGAACTACTCTTGGATTCAGTTCTTGGATTCAATTCCGTTTCAAGTTAAACTGAAATTTGAAAATATCTGTAGTCTTTCCAAAAGTTTTAATCCTTGAACACTGAAAGAAACACTGGCAAAACATTTTTATCTTGTATTGACATAAATGCACATACTGAACTAGAAACACGTAAGCCGAGTGAAATCTCAGAGTAAAGAAGAAAACTGATAATATATTTTCTGTTTCAGGATTCCCAGATCTAGCCACCATTCTTCTAAGGAAATTTAAATGGGGTAAGGCATTTATTGACCTGAACAAAAATCTCTTGGAAAAATATGCAGCCTGTCATTGCCAGGATGACATGCTAATCATTGAGAAGGACTTTTTAGCCCACGTCCAAGAAAAAAAAGACGAAGAAGTAGGTAAGAGAAAAACAGAGAAACACTACACATGCCCTTTTTGTAACTAGTTTCTTCACAGTCTTTGCCTTAAATCTCATAAAAATATTAGAAAGGTGGAAAGTAAGTGCTTTGCTGATACGTGTTCTGTCTTTATACTATGCTAAGTGTACCTGTTTGCCCATTTTTTTCAACTCAAATAGGGTGAAAATAACTAAAGCAATTTAATGCATAGAGTATTCACAGCTGAATCATAAAGCAGTTACCCTTATTCGGCTAACCAAATTGAAAAACATGGGAGCAATAAGAAAATACGATACTTCCTTGTTTTTTATACAGATGTTAAAAGCAGAGTATGAGTAAAAAGACTAGTAACTGAGAAGGAACTATGAGAGAAATATAGGCATACAGTCAGACAGTAGGTTAGTTATACAAAAATCTAAGAAGGACCTTTAATAGACATATTTATATAATCCTCAATCAAGATTTTTAAAATCAGACCTATAAAGATAACTAAAATGATTTATAATAAGTACAAGTAGTTTATTTCCAAAGTCTTCCAGTATTTTATTGCAATCCCAGTATTTCAGGCTGTATTCGCCAGTGAGTGCTTGGTCTCATTCAAGACAGCGCAAAGAAAGGCAAATAATCAAGAACATATGAAAAGGGATTATCCTAATTAACATTTTCCTTTCATGATGATTAAGCCCTTAAAATAGGTAAGGTGCTCATACTGTAAGAAGATGGTCAATAGCCTTCACTTGCTCTAAACCTTTATCTCTTTGCCATGATACTGAATTAAACCATCCTCTTGGTGGAAGCCTAACTAGTTAGATTAAACTGAAGACAGCTCTTAAGAGGCAACACAGCTATGCCACTTAAAGCACACTTCCACCTACATTCCTATGTATTTTCTGGTTGAACTGCAGAACCAAGATTTGTTTGACTTTTCTCATAGTTCTTCCCAGCTACTTCAGCCAAAGTAAGCCCAGCCCTACCCTTACTCAGCAAGAGCTAAACCTGGACGGCTGTAATTCACTTCTCAGTAGACATCAGCTAACTAGATAACTGTTTTAGAACTTAATCCATGTTGTCTTACCCAAAGCCTTAGAAACCTACTTATACAATCTGACCACCTCTAAAGAGCTACAGAACCCCTTGCAGGGGGTGAGGGAAGAGTGAAAAGCCTAGACTGGGCAGGCAGGACTTCAGTTATTTTCTCATCTCCCCCAGTTTCTCCTCAAACAACTATGGCCAACTTCTAAGATATATGAACTAGCCTTTCTGTGCCTTTCCCTCCCTGCCATTAATCTATGAAAATGAAGGAAGACCATTATGAAAATGCTTTTTTCATCTTCTGCAGTTTTTCCTTCTTTTTCCAGATCCATTTGATGTTGACTTAGAAAAAGAATTTTCTAATCCCAACAGGCCAGTCAATTCCTCACGGTAATGGAATTTAATTTAAGTTTAAATAATAGTTTTACTTACTGTAAGTTATTTTGCTTTTATAATGTTGAAAAATGTTTCCAGTCTAGCACAAAGGAAGGAAGACTCTGAGGAGGACAGCGTGAGCAGTCCAGATGACGCCACTGAAAGCAGTGAAAACAATGATGAGAGCAGTCCAGAAGAAATAAAAATCCCCAACTATCCCAAAGATTTGTAACACCTTGTATAAAGAAGTTTTCTTGTGAATACTTGAGTGTGTCTTGTTCACCTGTTTGGTGCTTAGCAAACCTCTGTCTCTCTGCAGGTTTGTAGGTATTTTATGCATGAGGGCTCTAGGTTATTTAATTTTTAGGTAAGTATGGAACATTATTTTGTAAGGAGTTTGAAGCTTAGTTACAAGTTAAAAAATAACACAGTATTCCAATCAATCTGTCTGGAAAGTGGTTTATAGGGGATTATTTTTAACTAATAGTATATTAGGTAAACTTTCTTAACTTCTGGTCTATATTTCAGCAGGAGAACATGACTAAGCTATTGCCCTGTTCATGGTACCTACCACATAGGGAGTCTCTGACTTTTTGCAGTCTTGAACCTGCCATATGTATTTCAACTACTTCATCTATTTAGAATAAACTGAGCTAAGCCTGAAAGGAAAAAATGCTTCTTGGAATTGCTTTAACATTTCAGTATGCCTTTTCGGTTACTTTAATTGCTCATTTTATTTACCCAGATAAAGTCCTAAGCAACAACACAGTGTTTTTGGCACTTCATATTCAGAACTGTACTGTGAAATTTCACATCACAGGTTTATCAGTGCTATCTCTGTGTATTTTTATCACTCCAAGTGGCACTGTACCAAGTAAGAAATACACATTGTCTGGTCCTTAAAGCTTTGTAACACTCACACCAGCACTAATATCTTAGGTTACTTTTCCCTATGCCTGCCTGTTTGTATAGTGAAAATGAGCTGTTACCAGTTGTTTTCTATACATTTAAATACAGTACTCTTTGGAGTTTCAAGCACCCAACTGAAACCTAAACTTTAGTGATCCTTCAGTAATATTGGCAATACTAAGGACAATTCGTAGACTCACCTTCACAAACCAAAGTTCTTCACATCACAGGACTTTCTCCTCTTGTCCCTCTACTACTTAGAGGGATTAAATACTAGTGCTACTGGAGCTAGAGCTGGGAGTAACAGCAGCAGTTTGGGTGGTACCAATACTCAATTTCCCTTTTAAAAACAAGAAGCACAAGTGAATTAATTCTACAAGGAGACTTTCCCTTTGATTTGGTTTTCTCAATAACCTGCCCACCCATATGAAATCTGTCTCAAATGTGCTGCTTTAGCAAGGATTTCTTACACAGTGATAAGAAAGCAATTCAACGTAACTTTTCAAAGCCTAAAAACCGTGTGAACATGTATCATGGGGTGACATTATGATGCTGGTATCCCCAGTCGTGTGTTCTGTTTATATTTGATACTATGTTCTGTGCTTTCAGAACTGACTCTGAAAGTGAAGGTTTGTTTTGTCTTGTTATCAGCTGGTTCACCTCCCACCATGGTCTGTTGTCTAGAAGAGGCTAGTGCTGGCTGGCTTGCTTTTGCTTTGCTTGCTGGTTTTCACTTGCTTGCTTCTGCCTTTGGTTCCTAGATAGTTTAGCTAAGCAGTCCAATTTTTTCCCTGGACTGTTTTTTTTTCCTTTCCCTTTCCTGAATGTCATTCCAACCTGCTCCGGACTGGGACCTGGGAAACACCGAGGAACACCGAGAGCCTGCGCTCTGTGATCTGCAGCAGCCATCCCCAGTGCAGGAGAGCAATGCCTAGTGCCCAGACCCGGGCGATCATTCCCAAGAGAGACTTTCTGGATTTGTCATCTCTTCAGAGTGGTGAGTTTTGTTGTCATCTGGTGGTGTTAATTTTTTTTGTGCTGGGGAGTGTTTTGTTTGTTAAATAAACAGATTCTGTTCCACTTCTGCCCAAGAAAATTCTTCCCGAACCCAGTGGGTGGGGAGGGGGAGCGGGGGTTTGTTTTCTGGGGGCTTCCAGAGGTTTTTCTCCCAAATTTGCCCTAAACTAGGACAACATGTCAGCTATTCCAATTTGGGGGAATACTTTTATATTATAAAGCTGTAGTGATCAAATGCAGACAAGCAAAATACATCTGGGAACAGAGCTGTGTAATTAACTTAAGTGCTGAGCTGTAGGCCTTCTTTTTCATAAACTCACTGAAGAAGCCAAGCTCGGATGGAACAAAGCTTGCCACGTTTTTTTTGTTTTGCAGAATAATTTTGACTTAAAAATATAATTTAAAAAGCAGTGAAAGTTTAATGGAGGGTGTATCAGCTTGACATACATGAAAACAACTTACATAATTTAACAGATTTCCTTTACAGAAGGAAACTGTAATTGCACAGGGCACATGCTTTCCCTTATAAGCTGTATGCATTAATATATGGAAAGAGGCAAGAAATGGTTTCTGATAAACAGGCTCCATTAAAAATCCTCAGCATTCCTTGGACAACTTCTATTGTTGTTCGTATCAGTCTAAAGCTCACAATTTTATATTAACATGGTCACACCAGGATGCTGATCCCATTATACACAGTAAGCAGTTGATCTCTGCTTGAAGAACTGATCAGAATTGACTTGCTGCGCTTACCATACATGGTCCGAGGACGAGCCGAATACGCGCTCCGGGTCACGGACAGGCAAAACAAATGAAGGCAACATCTAAACTAAAGGCGAACGCAGCATCACATGCCTTGAACAGAACTTGCACTGAATTGTATTCAGAGCCGTTTAAATGGCAGCCTTTTAATAATTTTAATGAAGATAAATGAAACAAAGCCCTTTATATAAACAGTTTATTTACTCTAAACAGCAACACAGACAGAATGTCATATAAACACAAAGAAAGTGATGCAGAATAAGGATGCTGGCTAACTTTGGATCTCAGAGGCTCTTAAGCAATAACAACCTAGTTTCTGAAAGATAGAAAAAACAAATTCAGGGAGGGAAGGGGGTGGAGGGCATGATTTTTTTTCATACAGCCAGAGGCTAAATATAGTTCTAACATTTTAAAGCATGCCTGCATCAGATAGCAAAGTAACTAGAGATACTAGTGAATTTGTAGAAGTATAAAAGTTTATAATTTTACAGCAGTTGAAATACTGACATCAATATTAAAATAAAAGCAAGTTTTACATAACAATCAAAAATACAAAAGACTGAAGGAAGAGACCCTGTATGAAAAAACTGGGGGCAATTCAGCAAATTTAGAACTGTATACAACTGGCAAATATGGAAAATGGCACACATACAACCCCCTCCCCTTATGTGGATATTAATTGTACATAGCAACATTACATTTTGCAAAAGTTTTGTAAACAAGTTCTTGCCAAACCAATCCCTTCCTTTTTAAGATGCTGTGTGACAAATGCTTATGATGGTGCAAACTTCTTCGCTTGTGCTCGAACCCTCTTTTCATATTCCACTCTGTTTTGGCTGAAAAGAGAAAGTGTAATTATAGCTGGAGAAATCAAGAGGCTGTATTACAGAGTTAGTTTCATAATGAAGAGAAACAGAAGTCATTGCTGAAGGCAAACCCTTTTGATAGCCATTCATGGAACACTACAATAAAGATTTTCTGGACAAGTATGGTACTGTTCAACTAGTTATTTCATCACCTGTTGTCAAATGATCGCACTGACTTTGTACTGTACCAGTCTATTTGAAGAGGTTTGCACCTGCTCTTCTCAAGACCAACTATACCTCATGTGCAAACATTCCCTGATTCATCTTAAGTTTTCTGCTCCCCACTCACATTAAGACCTGAGGTCATTAATAACAAATTCCAGTACCTTAACAGTACAAAGTGAGGAGAGCAGTTCACTAACAGCTGGTGGACTGCATATGGTTTTAAATTATCATCTTTACTGCTTTGGAGAGAGAATGGAAACAATCCTAAGAAACAGGAAAATTATAATGGTGTGGTAATTTCAGCCTTTATCTCTACAGACCCTGACTCACAGATTTAGGTTTATCCTAATCTTCAGCTGGGAGAAAAAAAGCTAGCTCAACACAGCTAAGTGTAGCATAGTTACTACTGATGAGTGAATTCTGTCCAGTCACTAAGTCTCATACTCAAGATGTAAAAGGGCAAGTTCTTCTGTTTTCTGTTCTTGTGCCAGCAATGGATAGTAGCAGCAATATTCATTTATAGTAAAGCATTCATTTACATTCAGTTGTCCATTCTGTATTAGCTGTCAGAAGTGTGAGTTGAGCTAAACAAAAATTTGTAACCATTACTCTTCTGCCAGAAATAGTTTAGAGTGACTAGATTTTGCAGACAGCTTTGCAGTAAATTTAACTCACTTTCAGCTATGAAGGCTTGCTGCAGTGAAAAAAAAAAAAAAAAGGCAGACACTTCTCTCCTTAACAAAACGTCTGACAAGAGACCACTAAGTACACTCTTCCATGACAGCACTGCCAATTAGACCTTGGGAAGAAAAAAAAAAAAAAAAAAGGCAGCAAGAAGAAGAAATGAAGCAGCAGAAAGAAGAAATGAAAACAATTTTGACCAACTGGGGTCACAATTGCTAGCAAAGAGACTGAAGATATTCTCTTCTCATGAAGAGATTTACAAACTTTAGTCCACATTTTTTCCTCTAAGTTATATTGCACTGCCACCTGAGAACATAGCCTAGCTTTTAAGTCTGGCACCCATAGAATTCACACAGAAGAATGCTGTCCATAGCAGACCCTGAATGCCTACAGCAAAGAGGAGGAAGTAGGCTAGCACCTTAGGAGTGCTAAAGTTACTGAACGACAGTACCAAAGGAATCTTGAGAATATGTGTTCTCATTCTGAATGTTAATTCTTGAAAGTTTAACAGCTTGACTAAAAGACATCTATGTAAACAATGGTGCATCTTCTGCAGTATTTATCAACTATGCCAACATTACAGATGCATGCACAATGGTGCTCTGTTTAACTTCTACCAGATATACAGTAAGCAGCAAGAGAGCACACTCTCAGACTGCAGAATAGTAACCCATCTGAAATACTCTGCAAGTCCAAGAGACAAGAAAAGCATAAATGGGAAACTATACATACTTGAAATAACAAAAATCCTGTAATATTTTAAATTAAACATTTTTCCCCCTGGAAGCACTTTAAACAGAAACAAGACTAGCCAAGACTGGTTTTGTACATACATGGATGTGGGAGGTGATTAAGAAAAATAAAACACTGACTATCTACACATGTACAGAAGTATATTATTGAGGCCTTCTTCATCATTCCTGGTTCCTACAACTGTGGCCACTTAACCATCTTCCATATGCACTCAACTACATCAAGCCTTCAGTAAGTACTTTAAAAAATAACACTGAGTGAAACAATTAAATGCAAAAAACACTACCCATCCCTATGTTTCCTTTTCACTGGGTCCCTATAACAAACCATATTTAACATAGCTTGCAAGTGCACTCACATAAAATGTTATTTTTCAAGTCTGGCTCTCTCCTGGAGGCCTCTTCTGTCCAGAACTGTAATTCCACAATTCCATCTTGGTTACTATTTCAGTAGCTACCACTGCCAAAAGCATTTGTTTAAAATGTTTTGCTTCCCTAAAGATTATAGAACAGATATCCATTTTTAATGGTGGGAAAACCTTTAAGACTAAGCCTAAAAAAAAAACAAACCAAAAAAACACAACGCAAACAAACCCAAAACGTCTCTTCAGCTCACAAATTATCCCCTTTCCTATCAATGCAAACTTCATTCTGCTAATTTCAACCTACTCTTTTGGAAGCTGTAGTTTTCCCAAAATGCCATGTTTCCTACAGTGACCACAGCTCTCCTCTGTCCTTCAGGCACAAGTTCTTACAGGTATGCACTACTGGGCAGAAGTAAGTTACTCCTGTAGTGGCAAATGTGACTTGTCACCTAATTCAGTCTCCTCTCCTCTTCTCCTGCTCTCTCTTCTCCCATTACACCACATTGTTACTATTGGCCTTTAAGGGAAAGGACTCTGTGTTAGGCTAGAACCAGGATGAAAATCATGATATAAGGAGTCTTCACACCTTACTGCTTTTGCTTTGTTATTAAAAGCTCCACTAGCCTAACAGCCATGAAGCTACCATTTTGTTCAAGTTTAGCACAATCTAGGCATCTCCACAGAATACAGTAATGAAGGCAAGAGAATTCCCCATGTCATTTGTAAAAACATTTGCATGTTATACTACAAATAACAGACACCTGTAGGCAATATGACAGCTTTCAGGCTCATACGCAAAGACACTTACCAGTAAATTGTGTAAGCCTCTGCTTGAGCTGGGTCTTGAATATTTGGTTCATTTAGAAGTTCTTGTATGCCTAACAAGATCTATGGAAAAAGGAATAGATGTAACAGGCATATATTATGGGTATTACTAATAGAGTTTCAGTGAAAAACCCTTAGAAACCAATTTAGGTACACCGAGTGAACATCTTATATTTTCATCAGATAAGCAAGCAAAGCAAAAGTATTAAGAATATGTCTAAGTACAACTACTGACCTGTTTAATTGTGATTGCTGGCCGCCAGTCCTTATCCTCCTCTAAGATGGAGAGACACACGGTGCCTGAAGGATACACATTTGGGTGGAATAACGGTGGTTCAAATTTACCTGATAAAGAAGAGGAAATTACTTGCATACAGTGCTAAGAGGAAGATCAGAGAATTGGGTTAGATCAGTTGGGGGAAAACAAAACCCAAAAATCCCCAAACCAACACTAGCAAAAGACCCCCAGATAAAACCCCACTAGTTTCTGGAGCTATAAATACCAGTTTTCTTCTTGACTCAGCCCACACCCAAAACAGAAACTGCATCACATCCGTGATATCAATCCAGGCGATACAATGTTGTCTTTCTGACTGGTAATCTTTTGGTCTAGGAATGGAAATGGACTAAGAAATTCCTAATAGCTTTGTGATAAAGACCTTTTAAAAACAATTCTGTCTTTTCAGCTTTACATACTACTACGTAAAGGAAAGACACTACCCTTCACTCATCTTTTCTCTCCTCACTTTAAAATAATGGAAGTTTCACACAAGGAAGGCTTAAGTTCTTAGCATTTTCTTTCAGTTTCGTATTTTCCTAATATACAGGAAAATATGAAACTGAAAAAATTAAGATGCACTAAACAAAAGGAACCAAGTTTAAATTACAAGACTAACTGAAGGCTTGTACAGCTTTCCTTTTGCCATTCAATCTATATTCTGGCACTGCTTTTAACCTTTACAGGCCTTAAATGCAACAGCTAGCATCTTCAGTAAAGTAATGAACACTCCTTTTACAATACATGAAATATCTACATATTAGTGCAGTTTTCTCATCCCTCTGACATTGCAAATATTCAAAAGATGTAACAGTCTTGCTGCCCTATGAAGTTCAGTAGTACTTCAGAAGCTGAACTGGTAGGGAGTTTTATCAGTCACATATGCATCTTCTTTTAAGGCACAACAATTCCTTTAACACTGTCAGGATGTGAAAACTGGCATTTTTCAAGGAAATAATGTGAAACGTTTTCAGTCACAAGAAATGTTTGCCCCTGTGTTACATGTATTTATTTAGGTGGTATCAAAGAAAAGGAGTCGCCAGGAGCTGATAGAGCTGAAATATGCTAATGTGATGAGAGATGAATTGCTGTCCAAAGAGCAATTGTAATGACTGTCATTGATTTGAGAAGGTAGCCAATTCAAGAACCAAGAAACCATGCAATGCAATAGATGTTTTTAAGTTTCTATAATAGGTGAAGTTTGAGATGATATAAGGAAAATTCAGTTCAAAAACTTAAGGAAACTAGGTATCTGAAGATCTACTAAGATACAGTATACATACACAGTATGTATACTGTATGCTATACACAGTAGCAGAAAAAGAACAGATTAGTATTTTAGAGCAAGTTGATTAAAAGGTTCAAGTTAGAGACCCCTTTTTTCCAAGTTCCTGTCTTCTGAGTTCTCAGCTTAGAAGATCAACTTAACAGTAAGAATATAGGGATTTGTCTAAGTGTGCCTACATATTAGTTTCCAAGGACAGCTGATAATGAAGTGAGCATTTCAAGTGATGCTTTTGTCAGACTTTGAGGGAACCTACACACCAATCTCCCTCCCCTCCCAGTTCTGATATATTGAGCACTTAGCTGATTTAGTCACAGCTTTCTTTGATGAACTGCAAGTGGGCAGGGAAAAAAGAAAACGCAATGTGCATTAAAAAAAAAAAACAAAACAAAAATCAAACAAAACTGTAAGAAAGTAATAACCATTTGTAAGAACCTCATGGATTAATTAAACACTGTTCTAATAACCCTGTGGTTTTTAATTACCTGTGGTAATTTTACTTACATTTTGGGGGTGAAGAAGGGTAGTCATCCTTGAAAAGCATCCGTAGTTTAAATAAGCCTCCTTCCCATGGTGTCTATCAAGAGTTAATGTAGAATTTTGGTTACAGCAAGGAAAAGTCAAAATTGTGGAAAAAAGCTTACAAAGAATACTGTTTCTCAGGCAAAGCACAGAACATTCTTCTACACAGAGAAAATAGCTGTCTTGCACTGTACCACACTGTCTAGACTATGGTAAACTATTCTACCTATAGAAGAAGCTGAAGTGGAAAGGAAGGGGTTTCTTTCTTCAGCTAGTAAGAGATGCCAACTCATCAACACAGCCAGGGTCATCACCAGTAATTCCATATAAAAGTAAAATTTTCACCCTAGTCCACAGCACTTTTAATTTTAAAGTAGCAGTAGGATACAAACTTCTTTATCAAATGATACATAATGTAAATTCTCAATTGTCAGTATAGTGCATAAGCAACTTATGTTACTTTTCACCATAAATGAGAAATCAGGAGAACAGTAAGTCTTACCCCTTTCTTTCCTGGAATAGCACATTCCCAGTTCATTAGATTCATTGTGCCGTCTGGATTTTTTGTAGGTACTGCTACAAATCCCTGAATCAAAGCAAAAAGACATATGGTGAGGATTTTACAAGATGTACTTAAAATACTTCATAAAATATTTTATCTTTACACAAAGTTACTTCTTTTTGCACTACTTTTTTTTTCAATTTAAAAATAATTATTTTAATTTAAAAAAAAATCCTATCAGGGTAATGAAAAAATCATCACCAGAACACTGAAACAATTGCAGAGTCAGATTTGGTGGCTTTGGTACTTACAAACGGATGATCTTTTCTCCAGGCTTTTCTCTCCTGTGCAAGTCTGCTAAGAGCTATGCCAGACATATTCAGAGTCCCTCTGAAACAAAAGTAATTGCTGTTAGCATATACTTTAACTTATAGCATAAACAATGCATTATGTGTTTATAAGCCCCTGCTCACTCAAGAGTAATTTTGACCTCTCATTTTCACTTCAATAACCTAGCCACATGTTTCTCACAGCTGGCAGAATTTATCATCAGGAATAACATCAAATTTCCCTATGCCATCAAGTTCTTAGTTACTGGACATGACCTACAAAATTCCATTCTTACCTTATTGTTTTATATTTGAACCCCATCTTCGAAGAAACTTTGACAGTAGTTTGACAATAGAAACAGTATTAGTAATGGAAAAAGTGTGCAGACTTCCTACTTGTGCAAATGACACACTCTTTATCTCCCTCCTACACCACATGCAATATGGCAAGTTTCTTCTGTAGGCAAACACCTGTATTACTCCCATTTCTGCAAATGGGAATAAGAAATACTACTTTTTGGGTAAATTCCCATTGAAAGCCAGTATTCCCCACAAAAGCAACAGGGGCATAGAATTTAACAAAGTCATCTCAGTTTTGCAGTGATGCTGCTATAAAACTTCTAGACAACATCAGGAACAGGCAGCAACTTAGCTAAGGAAGAGCCAGCAGCTCATTCCACAAGACAGATTTTCAATTCCAGTATAAACTGAAGACTATTTCTGAACCTTCACGGCCTTAGTAATAGCCAAGCATGGTAACCACCATAATAAACCTTTTTGACAGCAGAATAGTAGAATGCTTCCACTTGAGCTCACAGAGTGACTCTCAGCAGTGTTACCACTCTATTAAAACAAACCCTTATACACTGGTTAAGGATTATGCAAAATTTCACAACCTCTCAATATGTTGATTATTTATAAGAAGTACTGCAGTCTACTACTATTATAAGCATATGAATTGTAGAACTTTAAGCAGCTTATGCAGTTCCTAGAACAATATCTATTTTAAATCTGTTCTCCAACCTTTTAAGACTGTTTTGCCTAGATGGCCATATTCCCTAATTCACTTTCAAAGTAGCAACTAAATTAATGTCAGATAAAGCTTTTTAAAAGGGACAATTCACACTCAGTGGACATGCACACACACAAAAATATTCCTATGTTCAGTCTGATTTTCCTCCAGTAGTCCCAACACATCCACCTCTGTATTAATTATGGCAGAAGACTTGCAGGACTTAGGGAATGTGTACACATGACTTCAGATTTTAGTCTGCTCACAAGCTGGAGATGCAGAGCCATTGAAAAAAATACCAGTAGAACTGAAAAAAACCCCAAGAAACCAAAGACAACAAAAATCCTCTCCCTTAACCAAATTATACAGGCTGCAAGTTTTACTATGTCATGAGCAAGTTTTAATATGTTGTAAGAGATGTAAATGAACTGAATGTACAGCAGAATTTCAGCTGTGCCTTTGGTACCTGGTAGTCCACTGTACCAATACTAACTTTCCCATCACAGGCATATTTGCTTATAAACCATCCAAATATTCCCACATAGTTCACCAAACTCAGCTACCTTTTCTGCCAAAAAAATGCATTACAGGATGCTTTCAAATATATTTATTCCATTTCCTGTGGCTAACAGCCAATTAATTACAACATGAACCTCAAGGGAAACGCCAGTTTCTCACTGGGTAAATAAGCAGCGGATCTTCTGCAGAACATCAGTAACCCAGTAACTTTTTGAGTAATTGAAAAAAAAAAAAAAATCCCGAGTACTTGCTTTTCTTACACACTATACTGTGCCTTAGTACAATAAAGGTTTTTCTAATGGTCTACAAATAACTTTCCAAATCTTGAGGCATTAGACTTAGTTAAGCACTGAAAAATTTCAGCATGTATGACAGACAACAAGCTTCACATATATGGTTTCCATAGACTTCAGTTACACTGACGAGCAGCTAAAACCTCATCAGTCTAACAGAAAATAAAGATTAAACAAGACTGAAAGCTCATTTCACAAACTAAGATCCCATTAGTTAAGCATCCCTTCACAAGCTAACTGGCAATATAAACTCTCTATATCCCAATCTATTTATGTACTACATTAACAGAAAGAATTTTACACCAGAGGAAGTCTATTCAATTCTATTTTGTGGCACATGCCATGAAAGTCAAAGAGACCACTCTTCACGTTTTGAGTTGAATCCCCCAAATTCACCCCTGCCATTAAGAGGTAGTAATGTCCCTTTTACTGCCATCAACTCAGAAAGTTAACAGAAACTTCCAAATTTACTCAATAGCTTGCCTTTGCTGCTGCTACTGCCCATTTTAAAAAAAGGACGAAATAAAATCATCACGCTTATCATAAATGCAAATTTTTGTGTCCAATTACAGAATATCTTACCCATTTACACCCTCCGATGAGGTGGAATAACCTACTTTCAGACACAAAACGCACATCTCGCAAGGAATCGTTCCTGTGCCACAAACAACTCTCTAAATACATCAACAATATGCTCTTTGAGGTTCAAGAACTTTCAGTACGACTTATTGATTCCAAGCAGCAAGAAAAAAAGTCCCCAAAACGTTAAGATTGCTAGCCTCATTTTCTACTTTGCAGGTTAAATACTGACATAGAAAGTCAGTATTATCGAAATAGTTTGCCCCGAACTATTCCAACTTTATTTTTCAGAAGGGTGGAGAAAGCCACGGTCTAAGCTTTAGTCAAAGCACGCTAACTCTGGACTAGGATAGAAAGTCTCCTCTGCTTGCGGCAAGAAAGGTAGAAGAGGCCGAGCGGCGACCGGAGTCGCTCATTAAACAACAGAAGATGCCGCGCGGCGATGGGCTCGGTGTTCGACGGCCAAGTGAGCGGACAGGGCCGAGGCCCGCCCGCCACCACCGAGGGCCGCCGGTCCCGTCGGCCCCGCGAGGGGCCGAGGCAGCGCCCAAGGCCTGCACGGGGCACCGCGGGCCCGCCCGCCGCTCCCGGGCAGCCACCCGGCGGGGCGGGACGGACCGCGCAGACCGAGCGGCTCCACGCCCCGCTCGGCGACCTCCGCCCGCCACCGCCAAGAGCTGCGAGCCGCTCGGAACCTCCGGCGGGCAGCGCCGCGCCGCGCCGGCCGGCCCGGCCACAAGGCAGCAGTCGCCAGGCCCGCACGTCCATCCGCCGCTCCCGTCCCGTCCCGCCGTAGGCGGGGGGCGCCCGCCCGGCCCGGCCCCGCTCCCCGACCCCGGGGCCGCCGCGGCCCCACTCCCGGGCGGGCCTCACCGAGAGCCGCCGCCGCCGCGCGTGTCCCGGATCGAGGCCGCCTCAGTGACCCGGATGTTCCCGCTCCCGCCGCTTTGTCTCCACTCCGGAGTTTCCCTCCCTCTCGCCTCGCCGACGAGCGCGAAAGCGCTATTCTGTCCCTCGGCCCGATCCGTCTGTGATCCCATCGTCACGCTTTGCGCATCCTCACGACACAGGACCCAGAGGTGCCCCAGCAGTGCCTGAGTACGGAACACTAGAAACCCCTCCGCAGGGCTACACCGAAGCCGAGCACCTCCCGTGCCTTCCGCTGCCCCGCTCCGGCCGAGAGCCGAATCAACCTTTACCTCTGGCGCTCCGGGAGCCGCCTGTCGCTTCCGAAGGCCTGGTGTGTCGCCGGCGCGCTCGGGTCTGCGGGCCGCGCTCCAGCCGGGCCGAGCCCCGCCCCTGCCCGGCCGGGCCCGCGGGGGCGGGGCCGCGGCTCCCGCGGCACCCCCGCGGCGGCGGCCGGGCCCGGCGGCCTATCGGAGCCGGCCGCCGCTCGGGGGCGGGCTGCGTTCGCCTCCGGCCCGCGCTGCTTTCGCTGACCTTTACGGGATTTCTGACCTGGGTTTTGTTTCCCGCTGCTTTGTTGGTTTGGTTTCCTTGGCGGGGGACGAGTGGGAGGGATGTTGTTTGGGTTTCTAAGAACACATTTTAAATGGCAAGTGGAGTATGAATCACATTCTATTCCCATCTTGAACTTGTCTTTCTTAATGAAACTAAGGAATTTTTAGTCCTGAAATCGCTGCCTTGTGCTAGTCTGTATCAATGTTACTTGAAAGATGTTCTATGTAGTATTAATGCTCAAAATGGTTTCTTCAGAAGTCTAGGATTGACTATTTCAATAAATAATCACCTGGATTCCAATCAGCCCTAATCAAAATCTTCAGCAAAGATCACTCTACCTAAGAAACCTTTCAACAGGGGCAAATGCACACTGTAGACCAGGATAAATACATACTCCCCTGTGTAACTTTCCACACAGTGACATGAAAAGCAGTGGAAACTGTCAACACCTGGCTTGCAGGACCTCTCTCACGAAATTGTACACATTACAGTCTCTGAGAATGTCACATACATGTGTGTATGACTTATGAGGCAAGAGTTCAGCACACTGAAAGATGAACAGCACCCAAAACGGTGAATTTGCAGGATCATTTTCATCTTTTTGAAGTGAAACTTCTCACTGAAATGAAAACTAGTGCCAAATGAACCCTAGATGTTATAAAAGATCAAAACAGGTTGCTAATGACTAAGTTGTTTATGTCCCCTTTATAACCTGGTTTCTAGTTCAAGGTAGACACTTGTCTCTTTTGTGCTCTCATTTTTCCTAAATGGCGAAAACACAGCAACAGGTATATAGAATATGAATTTGGATTGAAAATCGTGCTGGCTGACTCTAAAATATAAATATTTTTAGTAGGACAGTCTGATGAAAATACAGGTGCACACACTGATTACTTAATTACTGTAATTGCTATACTTGATTACTACAGCAGTGTTTGTTCTTAGCACTTATTTTAGTAAAATTCAAATGCAATTAAATGCAGCAAAACAGTTTAGTAAAATTAGAATTTTACTGATGTTGCTGAATATACAAGGAAATAATAGAATGTGCTTTGCACTTAAAACTGACTAAACTGTTAAGATGAAATTTGCTTCACATGTAACTATAGAGGCTTTAGGAATTTAAAAATCATGGGTCTTAGCTTCTCAAGTTCTTACTAGCAGTTTGGGAAGTAAGAGCTGTCCAGTGGTCTTCTCAATACTAATACTCAATTATAAACTTTTCTATAGTTGTAGAGGACACAACTGTCAAATTTCCTGGATAATTTCAACAACCTGTACTTTGTACTTATAGTTTACTTCCTTAAGCCATTTCTATCCTTGAAACTTATTATATGTTTGACTTATTACAAAGCATCAATTTCCAATAGCTTCGTTTTTCAAACAAAGGAAGCACTTATATTAAAAAGCAAAGTAGCGGATTCTAGAATGTTTGCTGTTAGGCAGGGTGGTTTTTGAGTTGTGCAAAAGAAAATGTAAGCAAAGTCATTAGTTAAAACTTTTTCATGTGATTATATATCCATAGAAGAGACAACTATTTCCTCCTACAATAACCAGCATGTCACAGCAACTGCAAAGGAAAATAATTTCCCAACTGATATATATCTGAATAGACCTAACTTTTTTGTGACAAAGTCTTTGGGGCAGCAGTAAAGGATACTTCTTTACAGAGAAGAAAGCATTAATGCTTTGAATCACTGCACAAATGTGCAACTACATTTTACATCTCAAGTGCTAAACTAGAATTGTCACAGGATATGACACTATTAATATCAATTAGTGCATTTAGAAAAGACAGATGTAAGACATCACACTTTAAAAGGGAAAAAACAGGTTTATTTCATGCAATTTACAATACACTAGTGTTATGAAAAGGAAGTTAAAAAAATACCCATACACATTTCATTTGTTTGTTTTGAAAGTGATGGTTAACTGTAACCACCTTCAAATTATTTGGGAAGCCCTAGCAGATTTTTTTCCAGGGAAATTTCCCTGGAAATTTCAGTTTCTTCAGTTTCTTGTCTAGTGTCTGTGCTATGAGTTTTGGTTAATGCAAATGCATTAAAACCAAATCCCAACTCAAATTTTGCTGCAGTAAGAACACTTCAGAGATAATGAATTGGCACAAAATAAAGTGTTATTGCTAATCCACTATCCAGGAAATGACATGTTGCAAGTATGGCCACTTGGGTATAAGCACAAACAGCTGATGCACAACTAATTTTGAGACCAGTGATTTGGAGGGAAAGGTTAAAAAGAAAAAAAATGTTGAATTGCGTAGGTGATCCTAAAGAGTGCACAGGAAGTTGATTTCTCACAGCTAGGTTGAGGTAAGAAGCAGGTGGAAAAAGCTGCCATTTGATACTGCTTCAGTCCGGTGATCTAATTCCAGTAGAGAGGTTGGTAACATTCCTTTTAAGAGGGCCTTGGCACTTGCTTCTTTCTAGCAAGTACACATGAGCCAAGTTAATGTGAGTAAAGTTGTGCATAAGCTTTTGGAGAATCTTCAAAAGTAGCAAGAATCATGTAGATAATAAATACTTTTATTCTTACTCTTTACTCATTTCAGATGACAAGGCCTCAAAATCACAACAGGTCTTGGGTCAAAATTTAGGCTTAGCTTTCTAAGGCAAGGAGAGCTCTGTCACAGAACCTCTTCCCTTTCCACTCACCCCCAAAGTAGCAAAATGACTTTAAAAAAAGTTTCTCTTGTTATAGTACTTATTAAGATACAATATCCTCAAGTTATTGTGAAATGTCTTTCCAGACAGCCTCCAGAAAGCTGTATTTGCAGAAGTATCTACTCACTGAACTTCTGAGAAGTTTATGCCTTGGTAGACATCATTAAGTAAAGTTCAACTAAGTTGCAAAGAAATATTCTGTGACAATTTCCTGGGGCAGAATCTTCCTCAAAGCTTCTCTATTACCAGTGCTGTTCATAAAAGTTGTTATATTTCAGCAAAGGCAATAATAAAGTGGACAGTAAGTGTACTGTCTTCTCTAGTGTGCTCTTACCCCATCTGGATACTGAAAATCCAAGCCATATAGGAACACTTACATATGCAATTGGTTCAGACATTTGTAAAAAATATTTTAGAGTCCATGAGTTGAAATGGACTAGTTGTTTTTTAGAAATTGTATGTCTCTTGAATCTCAAATGAGCCCTGGAAAGCATTTTAGCCCTTAGCATTTTTGGTCTGAAAATGAAAAGAGTTCCTTCTGTCAGTCATTTAGGCAAACTGGACAATAAGATCTATTTAGCCCTTTAAAGCTGCTGTTCATTAAGAAGCTTTTAAAGACAGCTCCTGATTTTTGTGGAACAAAAGAAAACTTGCGTGACATTGAGTTCAGAGAGCATTCCGTGTTGTTTTTTTAAACTGAATATTCATACTATTTAAAGAATCAATAATTCTACACAAAACCCCACATAAGATCCCAAGATTGTCCTCAAAACTAGAGATAGCTGCAACCTAAACTACAATGAAGTAACAGGCAGCATCCTCAGGCTTAAGTATTTCAAAACTGTTAGAAAAGACGTTTCTCCAATCTCAGTTTTTAACGCTACTCTCTTAAGATAACAGACACTGTTAAAGGCATAACAAAATTTCATCTCTTTTCAAGAGCCCCACAGTTCAAGGGCTGATTGAAAAAGTTAATTCAAAAAGTTCAAACTTTTGATGTGCTGAGAGAATAAAAACAGGAGAATGGCACTTTCTGATTTTATCACATCTTAAGTGAATAAACCAGATTTCAGGCTTTCATTTGACTTCCATCTTCTTCAAAAAGCCCAGGACAACTTCACTCTTCTCCCAGTACTTCCCAAGGAATACACTGTATACCTGGCTAATTATAATCCAGATTATATTTAATTCCACTGAAGCAGATACTACTGCATTTTTGCATTCCATGTTCATTTTTTTAGTAATAATAAAATTTTTTAACTAATGTATATTAATTTGCTGGTGGGAGCTCTCTACAGCTTAAACAGAGATGACAACTCTCAACAACTTCAACAGACATTCACAGAATAGTGTTCTGTTATGAGAAGCACTTTTCTGGTAACACTATCACCCTACTTAGCAGACTTGTTCCCTTGGTTGCATGCTTGCAACCAAGTTATCTTTTGTTTAATCTCCCAGTTTTCATTTTTCTTCTGGAAGAAAACCCCAAAAATACCTCAGAAAAAGAGGAGATTGATTCAATTTTTGAACCTGCAGGAAACAGTCCTGTTTCTAATCAATCATAACTGTGCATTCACACTGCTAGAAATGGAGCTACACAGCTAGTGTCTAAAGAAAATCTCAAAACAAAAAAGTCAGATTCACTGAGCTTCATTTTTAAAGAAATATCTTCTAATGCTATTAGGCAGGATGAAAGGAACTTTTATCATTACAGGAAATCTGAGTTTGAAAAAAACACGGTACATTTTCCAACTTGTATGAGTATATGATTGTGACAATAGAAACTTTAGTAAAGAATCAAAAAAAGCTTCTAAATTCAATCAAGTCTTCAACACACAAATTACTGTGGGATTTAAAAAAATGCAATTAACTGTAATCCATGGAAATCCCACAGTAAGTAGGACAAAATCCCAGGTAACCTTTAGGCTGGAAGCTGCTGAGTCAGAGTATATGAACCATGTGACATTCATGCCTTTGAGGCCTCAGAATTACTTGTTCATTGCAGACAAATTCTGATTCACTTGCCGCTTGAAGATGTCAAAAGCATGTAATATAAAAATGGCAACTCCAAAAAAGGAAAAAATAGCCTCTGAGAAAACCTAAGGCCAACAATATGCTGTTTCCAAGCTCAAAGCAAGAAATTGCTATAGCAAATTTGAAATTCTGTTTTTAAACAAGTTTTGCAAGAAGTTTGTAATGTAAGTGCCTTTAAGGAATTTTATCTCTCTACCTTCTGGCTTTATTCCTTCTGCTACAATCTTTTCAAACTCAGGATCTAAATTTCTAACCTGGAATATTGTTCTGATTTAACAACAGAGGAGCTGTGTATGTCCAGAGTTAAGTCCAAGTGGTTTGCAGCACAGCTTTGCAGTTCCAGCCTGACAGTGAACCCCTCAGCTCTGTACAGTCACAGACAATTCTCAGGTAGGTACTCTCCAAATGGCGGAAAAAGAACAAAGGACTCCAATTTTAACTGTACAGGTACATTACTTCCTCTTTGCAAGATCTTAACAGATGAAGCAACGTTTGCAAAGCCTGGTCATGCAGATTGGACTCTAATGCAATTACCTTGTTATTGTCACTAACTTTATTTGAAACTGCAACAGTCAAACAAAAAGAAACAAAACTTATTTAGGGATAAATGCTTAATGCCTTGAAAAAAGGTAAAGAGAGTATTTCCATCTATCTGAAAGCCTCACATAATCTGAAAATTAAAGCAATAATGACAATAGCAAGAACAGGAAAGTAGTTAGTTCAGGTGGCCTCAAAGAACAGCATATTTAAAATAATTTATAGGTACCTGCTTACTAAAATTCTCTCTTTTCTTTCCTTCTTAAAATCTTTGTGAGATATTGGAAACAAAGTGCAAAAAATATTAAACACTAATTTCCCTAAAATTAGCTATGGCAGGGATACAATGTAAATTAAACTGCAGGTAATCTCAGCATAGAACTAGGTTTTAAATCTGAAAATATTCCAGTGGGGGGAAAAAAACATACTTAGAAAAAAACCACTCTTTTACATACTCTAAATTTGTTCAGTTTGCTCAGTTTGTTACTCATGCTTTGCTGATGGCATTCAGGAAAATTTTACTTTATTAAACAGTCTGTCCTTTTTGGGTTTAATAAAAGAGGCAAGAGAAATGCTGATTCAGAAGAATCACTGTAAAACTGGTATTTTAGGCATTAAAATCCACTTAGATCAATGCTGAATTACTCTGTAGAGCACACCAAGAAAACAACAAGTAACATGGTTGGCTGCAATGAGCCAGAGAGCTCAGAGAATTTGGTGGAGTCATACTGCTTAAAAACACAGTGACTACTGCAGCAGAGGAAATGTTTTAATATCCAGCTAACACAGACAATTGTTATGCTTATTTTCAGATACACAAGATAATATGTCACTATTTAGGGGACATCTGTGTGCTCATTTTAAGCTGATAAAATATGGGTACCTAAAAAAGTATAAAAGTATAAACATTTCCCCCTACACAATTACAGTTTTAGTAAATTAAATTCAGTTTTAACTTCTTAAAAAAAGACAAAAATTTTATGTGTTGTGGAGGGGCCAGCAGCTTCCCGTGCAGACCACATCCAAGTCACAAAATGCATTACAAATCCTTTCAAGCATTAGGCACACAGACAAAACATTTAGCCCATTGCTTAACCTGTTTAGTAGAAATGTTTCTTACAAATTGTTTTGCCACATTTTTATCAATGTCTAAGTCCTTTAAAAAATGAAATAATAATAAAAATAAAAGTAGACCCTGGGTGTTTGAAAATCAGGTTTTTGTGTAAAGGATTACCTACAGTATATGCATAAATTCTGAAATTACTAAGAATGAAAACTGTAATGTCTTTAGAATTTAAAACCGTCTTGTAGCTTTTTGAAACTCCCTTCCATTGGTTCCATGAGTCAATGAAGCCAAGTTTTACACTGTCCATTTTGTTAAGTGTTTTAAAGACGTGCTAAAGATTTTGCTCAAAACATAGTGTGTGTCTTGTGTATTAGCCTTTATCAAGGACAAACTAACAAAGCTGCACCACATTCCGCTCAAACACTGTTCTTAACTGCATAGCTGAAACTGTAGAGAAAAAGAAAGGTTGATTACAGTGAACCTGAATATCCATAGTAATCAGGTTTTTCAACTGGATGAGTTTATGTTCACACTAAGGTTGATTTTAATCCGAGGCATAGAGACAGGGACCTAGGACTAGCCAGCTGTATTTCTGTAAAACCTTCAGCTCTAGAAAAATCTCTACCCTAATCCACACAGTTCAATGCTTATAGGCATTTTATAGAAGCACAAACACACATGAGTACAAACACCTCCAAAGAAACAGAATGTTCAGTTGGTCATTTTAAGTGAATTTTGATTCTGCTTTCAAGCATGTTATCAGGACTGGAGCATAACTTTTGCAGGAGACTGTTTTAACAGAGGGAGCATCAAGAACAACTCAGAGGAAGGCCATTTTCTCTGAGTTTAGTCTTCCCTTTGGGTATTAAAATAAGCTATACATCCAGTCAATATATACACTCTTCAGAGAAACCTTTTCTCTCTTGTGTTAACTTTTACACATGCTAGTTTCAGTTGATCTCCTAGGCTGTTATTACATAACAGATATGTCGCAGAACCATAAGGAATGTGCAGTATAATACAGTCAACTGGGGCTGACACTGATTCTGAAACAACGTACGCCCAAATACTTGCGTTTCTGGGCTGTAACATTTGTGTGTGTGTATGTGTGTGTGTGTGTGTGTGTGTGTGTGTGTGTGTTTGTGTGTAGCACCAATTACATTGTCCTTTTAAGGTTTACAATGATTAGTAGGAAAAGGTCTCCAAACTGATCAACATTGGGTCATCCAGCACCAGACATTAAGTGCTACATGTCTCCGAGGAAAATATGAGTGCATGGTCATTTCTTTTCAAACGACCATTGTCAATAAGCCAACAAGAGAGCAAAACCATGCACTGTAACCAAAACTTAACACACATTCCCACACCATCTATTCCCATTATGTAATCTTGCAATGCTTCCAGAAGTTGACACCAGTTTATAGGCAAATATGGTTGAACCCAGATTAACAGAAAATTGTCTAAATCAGATTTTTTCTTTTGCAGCCAAGCCTCTTCAGTGTGACAATTCACTGCATCTTCGAATAAAAGAAAAAAATTGTCATCGTTCAATACTGTCTTCACATCCTGGAACCTCGTTCTTGCAAAATCTGAAACAGACCAATAAAAATTCTATAAATGAAAATTAGCTCAATGTCATTCCTAAAGCATGGAGATCAAGGAGCAACATAATGGCTACTTTAAATAACTGGTAACGTGTCAGGGACCTGGTTCAAGGAAATTCCTGGGATCTGTGCATTAAAGCTGAAAAAAGATTGATATGTACAATCTATTATCAAATACCATTAAAACAGGCGCAAAACACTGCTAGGAACTGAGTATGATTAATATAAATCATTAATACATTAATAAGACTTAAGAGTTGGCAATTGTGCAAAGTAAGCCAGTGCACCTCAACCTAGTGTGGAAGATCCTGAGATCCTCTGTGGTAAATTCACGTGGGTATTTTACTAGGAATGGAATTTAATCTTAATTTTTCCTGTTCCAGAAAAATGTCCATAGCTTTCTGAAGTTTCAAACTGTATTCCATAAATTAGTACTTAAAATATGAACTAGCAAATTAAAATGTGCAAAAGTGTCACACTGGGTGCGTTGATGCAAGAAGCTTTTAAAGGCCAAGTACAACCTGGCAATATTTAAATCAGCAACATCCATTTTACTTCCAATTTGACTATTTTTTGTCCTTTTCTGTTTCAGTTTATTTTGTCCCCTCCAGAGAGGAAAGGAACCAAGTCTTAGGACTGACTGTTCAAGCAACTATATTTTAATGTTGCTGCTCTAAACTGAATCACAACCAGCAATAAAGAGGTAAACTGTCAAGCTGCATAGGACTCTAGAACTGTGTCAGCAGGCTGTAGAACCAATCATGACAAAAGGCAAACAAAGCATTAAAGCAAAGCTTCAAACGTACTGAGAGCAAGTACTTAAGAATGTTAATCTGTAAGTAAAAGTCTTATGACACTTAATTTTCTTTTGCTTCTTGATAATTTTCTTAGTATTGGGAAGGGCTCTTTATTTCAAAAGTTGAAAGAAAGTAAAGGCACAATCCCTGGACAATGGCAGAGCTTCCCTCAAGATGGATTTTCCTTCTATTATGATCTTTGTGTAGCCTGATGTTACAACAAACACTCAGTAGCACATTCCACAGAATCTGCCAGCACACACAAACACTTCAGTCTCTGTGCTTGTAGGGTAAAGGCTGGCAGTTGATTCACACAACAGTCTCAAGGATGGTTTTAAATTTTAAAAGCTGACATATTTGGTTTCCTTTTAATATTGTTAAAATGGTTATTATGTCTTTCAAAGTGACTGAAGTGAAGCAAGGTCTCACCTGCTTTGCCCATCTCAATGGGATTTTTTAAGGGCTGGAGTTCATGAAACACCCATTGCCATTTGTATAGCTCAGGGACAGTTCAGAGGCAATGTGGTGTTAGCTCAAAAAATTAAAAATCCACTTTATCACTTGCTCACTGTACTCCCTCTTACACCTGGATCTAGCATAGTGTATACCAATTTCTTTTTCATTTCAAATTCAGCATTATTGTTTTGAAGTTATGAAGTCAGATGTCAGTGCAACTACTCTGAAAAATTTCCACAATACAGAAAGACATTTTCCACTGGCCATATCATGCTTTAAGGTACATTTTAGAAGCAAACACCTCTTATTTTATGAAGGTCATTAATGAATGTTACACATGACTATGTGTACTAAGCAAAAAGCATTCATGTGAAACTTACGAAAGAGATAAGTGAATTCTGTGGGGAAAAAACAGGCTCTATAAATTACTCAGCAACTGCTTGTGTAATACATGCCAAAGGGACTAGATAAACATACAGAAGACAGTGCCACTATTACCAGCTCATGGTATTAGTGTTACTGTAGCTTCCATAAAGTGACCTGGATGAAGGCTTGAAGCCAAAATTCACAGACTGAGTTCTACTGGAAGGTGGGGAAATATATCAGGAGTAGGTATCATAAATGCTTCATACTTAAACTCCTTCCTCAACTATTTGCTGTTGATCAGAGTAGGGAACAAAGTGCTGGAGCAGATGCCCACAATAGAGGATAACAGTCTGACACAGCAAATGGAATCAGTAAGTGAAACCATATACAACAGAGACAAAAACATGGCTGAAACAAATACCTGTGCAACTAGAAAATAATACTGGATCAATTACTTTTGTTATCATTTCCAAATTAATATGAAGTATTTGAGTTCACTCATTCCTAGAAGAGTACTTGCAAGATTAATAGCCTTAGAACTATTTTCTGAAGCATCAGGAACATATGCATCAAGATAAATCTGAACCAGATTTGGACACTGAACTTTGCGCACTTTACTGAACCAGTAATCCCAGCATAAGGAAGAAAATTCTATTCCATTGGGCAATATTTTAACACACTTTTCCTGATGCTTCTGTAACCGTCACCTCTGCTGAAGAGGAAATCGTAGAATCACAAGATTGCGTTTGTTTGGAAGGGATCCTAAAGATCATCTCATTCAAACCCCGGCCATGGGCAAGGACACCTTCTACCATCCCAGGCTGCTCCAAGCCCTGTCCAACCTGCCTTGGACACTTCCAGTGATGAAGCAACCACAGCTTCTCTGGACAACCTGTGCCAGGTGTCTCACCACCTTAATGGTAAAGAACATGCTCATAATTATACCCAATCTAAAGCTAGCCTCTTTCAGTTTAAAAACCTCACCCCTTGTACTGCCACCATGAGCCTAGGTAAAAAGTCTTTTTTCATCTTTCTCATAAGGCTTTTTAAGCATTGGAAATGCTTAACATCGGCTTTGGGGCTCTCTTCTCCAAGCTTAACAATCCCAACTGTCTCAGCCCGTCTTCACAGGAGAGGTGTTATAGCCTGCAGGCCATTTTTGCATCTCTCCTTTGGACCCACTCTCACAGGTCTTGTACTGGGAATCCCAGAGCTGGATCCAGCAGTCCAGGTGGGATTTAATGAGAATAGAGTTGAGGGGAAGAACCACTTCCCTCAACCTGCTGGCCATGCGTCTTTTGTTGCAGTCCTGGATAACTGGCTCTCTAGTCTGCAAGTATTGCTGGCTCAAATTCTGGTTTTCACCCACCAGTATCCCCAAGTCTTCCGCAATGCTGCAGTAAATCCATCTATCACCCAGTCTGTACTGATACTGGGGATTGTACCAACTCTAGTACAGATCTGCTGTATAGAGGATTTCCCTTATTTTCATATTTCTGTTTTCCCCATTTTCATATTTCTGTTTTATTTTCCCTATAGGCGCACCAGATCCAAAGCTGGCTTAAAAATTCTCAACAATGCTGAATGAACTCCCATATTCTAAGGGCCTGAGTGTAATTTTTTCTTAGGGAAGCAGAGCATGAAAACTATTTCTTCACACTCAAAATAAAGCTGCTGCTGCTGCTAGAAATGTGTTTTAAGGACTGTTTGCCTCTCAGGCAGCTTAAGAATATTACAATCAATTCCAGCAAAGTGCCAGTTTACTTTGTTTCAATAAAGCTTCAGATTTGATTGATTCCTTTCAGCCATTCCTGAAGACCTGTCAAAAGGCTTTACACTACCCTAGCAATAGCTTTTGTCAGCATCATTTCAGAAAATAACGTAGGCTCTTTTTCAGCCATGTGCAATGACTTCATAGAATCACAGCATATCCTGAGCAGGAAGGGACCTACAAAGCTGCTTTACAACTAAAAAGTACAGCTGTATAGGCAAGAAGCTGAAGTTTCATCTCATGCAATGGTAAATATCATCAATTTATACAGGCTGAAGTGACCACCCACACTGTAGCACTGAATATTCAATGGTACGTTATCTTCTAGAAATGATAGAGTGGAATAAATATGAGTAGAACTTAAAGACACATTAGGAAAAGTGCCTAAGTTGTTTTTTCAGATGCAGCTTTTTTTGCGCTCTTCCACTTGTAACTTTTAATGTAACTTGATCTTCAATCAGATGTCAAAGTACAGTGGAAAGGATCTCTCCCCACAGTTGTTTCCTGTGATAAATACAACTGTAGCACCAAGATCACACTATTTACTTGTATTTGCTACATTTTTACTAAAAAAATCCTTAGTTTCAAAATTACCAGTTAAGACCACCTTTGGACTATGCTACACCTCAGTCAAGTGAGTTAAATTATTGCTAAATAAGACATTTACTGAAAATGTATACAGGAAGTTTGTATCACATGCCTCTACATGTAAAAAACCTATCTGACAGAAAAGCTGATGCACATAAAAATAAGAAAGAAATGAATGAATGAGAACCAATTCTGGCCCTTGAATCTACATTAAGAACTTTCCTTCTCAGCAAAGCTTTAAAGGTACTACTCACAATACAGTTTATAAAAGCAATACTAATTATTCTGTGAAAGAAGCAGTATCCAGAACACAAATTCTACCTTTGCCAACCATGCCACAACTATAATCACAAACACACACACCACCAGAACTAGCCGAAGGACAGCACTAGTGGGGGTGGGAATTGGATGGAGCAGAAAAGAATCTGGTTAAAATCCTAGGGCAGCTAGTGCTCACCATGACATTTACACTTAATCTGAGTCATTCATATCGTAATCCGTTTCTTCATCCTCACTCTGAGTGTCATGCAGCATGCAGCACGTATAGAAGAAGGAAGGGAAAAGAAGAGATTGCAAGTGAGTCAGAGCTGCAACAAAGTACATTCCACTTACACCTGAAGCATGTGGCAATGACATTTATTCACTTTTACCTGTGACTCCACTCTTTGTATAAAAAAGTATGACAGCTGACCATTTCAAGAAGGAATGCAATGGATTTCATGACAATTTCCTCTTCCAAATATCCTTAAGTCATCAGTTAGAAGCCAACAGTCAGGTCCATAAAGTGGTTTGAAAGAGAAGTCTGCTTGTGGAAATACAGGTTATCTTTTGGTTGTGCTATGGCTACCAGTAAAAGCCAGGGGAACCATTTAAGATGAATTTCCTTTGTTTAGGTGTATTAGAAGGTTACACAGAAGTCATCTACTAACTTATTATTCTGTTAACTAAAAAAAGAAAACACAAGGAAAAAGTCCCTAAGAAGGAATGAATGTGAAGCTTGATTAGATGGCTATTGAAGATACTTTCTCCTATTCTGAAAATCCAGGACTATTAACTATAACTGAAGTACTTGTCAATAAAATATACATACTAGCAGGTTTGTTTGTTTGTTTGTTTGTTTTTTTCTCTAAATATGCTGTAAAAATAATAGGAAGAGTTTCTTATAAGTCAGTCCCATTGCATGAACATATTATTCTGTATATAAAAGTGGATACCAGAATTTCAATCATATGTACTTTATGAAGACCAACTCAGACACTACCAAGGCTAGAGGATAGTGCTTGCTAAGAGGGAACTGTGGAAACATCTCCCAAAGTCAGACTCCTGAACACAGCTGTCAGAAACCTCTTAAGAAAAAAAAATTTCCTTTTTTCCCCAATCACAACATATACCTATATACAAAAATATGATCATTTAGAAGCTTAATATATAAAAGAATTATTCTTCAAGTACTGCCTATTAATTGCTAGGAACAGCTTAACTCTTCCAGGACAAAAGGAGGGAATGCTTATATCTCCAACCAAAATTAACAGTAATTCCTATTCATCACAGTGGTCAAATGATGCTCTGCTCTCTTCTCTGAAGCAATGACAAAGCTGCACACTAATGAAGATGTCTAAGACAGCCTCTCTTAGCGCTACTCCATTTACATTACAGTCGTAATGCAGTCTTGACTAGCTTTTGGTTTTTGTCTTTAACACTTATTTTTGACCCATATTTTCTATTTTCTATTACATTAAGGATGCAACATAACTCTGGCAACTTCTAAAATTACCTGAAGATGCACTACCATTCCTTATGAAGATCTTTATTACGCTCTAGAATTCCACATTGTATTTCAGGTAGATATCTCAGCCCTAAATTATTACCACACACCTCTAACATGGCAACTTTCAAAGTCTTCCTCAAGCATCCTGGCAAAAGCAGACCTTAACTAGGGTTTTGAAAGAGGAAGACATGGCTTACCCAGTTTCACTGTTTACCCCTAACTACATTAATCCTTTACAACTCTTTGGAAGTTTTATCTCTACAGTTGTGAAGAACATAAATTACTCATTTCACTAGGCATCCAACATACAGCTCAAATTATAAAAATTATTCCATATGTGTAGCTGCATAAGCATGCTACGAAGCACAGAAAGTAATGAAGTTTTATCTATTTGAGGCCTCAGTACCGAGACTCAGACCCATTAGCATTATTTCAAAATCAATTTCTTTGAAGGTGATTTTTGAAAAAGCAAGCTTTGATGATTTACCAATTGTTTTCCAGCTACATAAGGGAAAATCAAAAGCTTTTAAGACAACTACAGATGTATCCAGTTTGTCTATAGTCATCTCCTCATACAAAGCAGCAATACAATGATAAAAGCTGTTCACTATTAATGATACTGAATACACTTACATTACAGAACTGCTCTGCCTTATGGTTAGTCAGCTGTGGGTTTATGTTTTCCTTTGTACAAATTCTGAAATACAACTGAGTAAAATGCTAAGATACTGTGCCCATTACAATGTTTTTGTAAAGTTGGTTACAGAAAGTAAACTTGGTAGACCCCAAAAAACATTAACAAGTACCCCTATTTTATAACATATTGCACATATTACAGAGATAGTATCTTTCAAGTTCCGTTCTCCAGCAAGGTTTCTTCAGCAGAAGTCAAGCAAGAAAAACAGTTTTTAACTGAACCAGTGTAATTCAAATGTATGTGAAAAAAACCCTAGTTTCTCAGCTGTAAAGAGCAAGTATTTGCCAATACCTGAAAAAAAACAGGTACTGAAAAAGTACAGAGTATTGTATTTAAGTAATTCAGGCATGCGTAACAAATGCATGCTAACTGTACCATTTATAGTCCTTCATAGAATGGACAGGGAATCATTATTAGTCCTGAACAAGGGGGAAGAAAGGACAATGAAGCAATAGTCCAGAACAGAGGTAGATCTATTATGACTTGTGAAGCCCACCCAATCCAACACCATTTCTTTAGTCCAATGGCCAGTAACTCACCTTTGCTTTTTCACTGGGTTCACTGGTTGTGCCGTAAGGAGTGTTATGCAATTCCTTTGAGACAACACACAGAAATTCAGCCTGATCTTCATTGCCATAGTTATAGGAAGAACCAATACTGACCAGCTGAAAGATGAAATTTAAAAAAAAAAAAAAGTTAATTGTATCTCCACATAAAACAAATTCCATAAAATCTCATGATTAGTACAAACACTCCTCCCTCTTCAGACTGTAGGTTGTGCCTGAAGCAAATACGTTTTGATGTAATGCATCAATGCAAATACATTTTGATGCTGACAAATACATTGACAATACACACTCTGATGATAAGATACACACAGTTTTTTTAAACAGTTACAGAATTAATGATTCACTGTGAAAGAAAAGACTGTGGAGACAGGCCAGTGAACAAATAGCCTGTTCCCTGTTTCTGTTATTTACTAGAAACCTTCCTATCCTCCAATGTCAATTTTTAAAGTTTATATGTGGTATCTTAACGTGGCATGATTTAACACATAAATGGCTGCATGCAGGAACCTCTTTAGCCTGAAGGGATACCCATCACTACTTACAGAATAATGGTATTTCTATTAAAACTTATTTTGAATGAACAAACACAGTATTTGCATCTGATTGGAAAAAAACAAGACATGGTATGGTGGGACATCAAGATTAACATCTGAAATTCATACATACTGCTACAAGGAAGCTAATTAAGGAAATGCTACAAGCAGAAGCCATGTATAATGAAATGTGACATATTTACAAGTTTCTACAGTCTCTACATTGAGTGATAAATGACAATTTACTGAGAAAGAAGAATATATTCAACATTACTGCTACTGTTTATGCAGCATGTTTATCAAGTGGCAGAAATTGTCTTACCTTACACACAATACACTTACCTAATATACTAGAAGCTTTACATGCTTGCCTGCCTTTCCAAGCCAGAATCAATTCAGATGTAGCTGGTTCATTTATTTTAAAGTTTTATTTCAAAAGCACAAGATAATGTGTGATCTACAAGATAATGTCAGATCTACTGACACAGATCAAAGTCCTAAAAATAAAATTGTTGCACAGATACACTGTGTCAATTTGTCATTACCCAAACTATATTTAATCTATCTACCAAATCACCACACATATACAATAAGACTGCCCTATTCCCCAATCTCTACTGTACCATTTAAGTGCTCTAAAAACGGCCACATAGAAAAGGTCTAACTTTTTTTTTAGGGTAACAGCACTTAGAACACTGTAGTTATCTCTGTAAAGACAAATAGCATACTACCATTAGTCTAACAGAATACCAAAGAGAGTGAAAGATTTGTTAAAGCATGAAAGATGAAGTCAAGATGAAATCCTGATCCAGAGTTTGTACTTAAGGGATAAAATTATTCCCCCAACAAAAACTGAGATTAGACCAAGGTTAAAAGCAGCTTTGATATAGCACTGTCAGAGGAAAACAAAGCCTCACTGTACTTTCTTAAGGAGAGGAGAGAGATGTTCAGGCGTTCCTGCACTGCAGTAAGTCCAGCAAGCACTTCCACAGATGGACAGAACCAATGTCTACAAAGAGCAGCAGGCAGTATGTCTACATAATGAATCAACTTGATGTCAGGCCTAGGCACCATCAAAAATTTTGGAACCTGATAATATTACAGCATACAGCCTTCCATGAGCAGCACTGCCCATCAAAATTCATCACTCTCAAATTACACACTTTAACTACATTGAATGTGATCACCAGAAACCTTCCCTGCCTTCTCCTGTTCTAACATCACTCTAGTTCTGCAAAATATATAAATAAACAGTAATGAACACAGGCTGATCAGAAATTATTAACATATTTTTTCAACCAAAACTGTGTAATGAAGTTACAAACACACAGATTTTCTAGAAACACTGATGCATATAAAGACATATTTACCTTGAGATGTTAAATCAGCTAATCTTTCACAATGAATACTCTGCAGTCTGCACCATAACATATTTGTGCAATACAAAATCATGAAACCTACAGAGTAACTAGTTTCTTAGTTGCACAAAATGGACTAAGAAAGTCTACTGGAAAGCTGGAAAATCAACTCAAATTTACTTTGTATATTAAAATGATCTGTTGCTCATCTTCCGTATCAACAAAAAATGTGCACAGATTTTCAGAAAAAAATAGCAATTAAGTTGCCTTAAACCCAAAAAAGTGGTATAAAGTTTACACTATACATTATATAGCCATTATAAGCTATTTAATACAAATACAGTAACTGCTTCAATTATTAAGGTAAAAGGTAGGACATTAAACAACATTTTAAAGGCTAGAAAACATTCAGAAAGTTTGCATACATATTTAAATAAAGCCACTCAAAATTCACCTTCTCTGAAGTTCAAAGAATAAAATTCAAGCATACAACTTAATTAATATACAGTTGACTCTTCTTCTTGGAAAATGGCAACAACTTGTTTATGAGGTAAGCTATGTTAACTACCAGAAGGAAAAATACTTCTTTACTTATTGACACTCTTAAAGAAACAAATGACCTCTCTGAAAGTAGATACCATACAAGACCCAAACATCAGCCAAATCATCAATCCTGTTTCAATCAGGGTAACAGGTCTTCAGCTGATAGCCACTAACAAATGCTTCACAATCCAACCACATAAATCAAGCTATTGAACGTAAGTCTTTTTAGGAGACATGGCAGATTGAATACTTTCAGCCAGTTGGATAGGACTATCAATTTAGCTGACTGCAAAACATCTAATGACTTTTTGCCACTACTGATCAGTTGATAAAAGGGATTTTTACAAAATTAGACCCAAGTTCTTCAAAACTCCAACCCACAATACTCTCATAAGCAGTTTCGTATGTGTGCAGCCAAAAATGTAGCATTTGCATAGTAGCAACTGCATGCTAGAAATGTCATTGTAGCTTTCTGAAATTATCAACAACAAGGCTGATAGCAGAAAAAGAAACAAAGGAAAATGACTGCAGATTAGAATTGAATTGTTCTGTCAGGAACTGTGATCAGAAGTATGTTTTAGCACTCCTATTCCATAAGTCACTTCATTGTTCCCAGTACTGGTGACAACACTTTAAGAAGGATGCTGATAAACGGGAAGACTACCCCTGCCATGTCCATCTGCCCCCCACACTACCACCCCCCTTCCACACTCCAAAAGAAGCCACAACACATCAGAGTAATCTGAGGTATGAAAAACAGGTCAAAGGATTTCAGATTATCCAGACTACTATTTCTCAGACTTTCTGAAAGGACAAACTGTTTTTGTTTTGAAGCCACAGTTGCTTCATGTAGTTTAAATTACCAAGAACTTAAGGAAGGATAAATATATATATATATTTCTGCATTGGTTTATTCCTTCCATGGCTTGTTGATTCTATTTAAGCATCCCTGTGAGCCCCAACAGTGTCAGAACTGAGCACAGGAAAATACCAAAGCTACTTATCACAGAAAATTCATTAGATAAGGATCCATTACTGCTTGCATGGAATAAGGGTTGATGGTACTAGCAGGCTGTCAACTCCAGCTAAAAGAAGGCAGGAATGGAAAGCAGCATTACTTTTTTTTATTAAATTAGAATAAATATAATTATTGCTTGATGTGCCAACAGAGATCACAATTTTCCTGAACAGAAATCACAAGAAGGAATTTCCTGTCTCATAATAAGGAACCTTATTTTTAAAGTGAACTAATCTCATGCCTAACTGAACTGAAACAGATTTCTAAACCAAACACATTTCAGTAACATGCCTATACAGATTTGCTGCATTGGTTTAATAATATTGATTCAAAATTTATACAATATATTTACCAGACAAATCAACAATAGTATTGCTATCTCAGAACACACCAGCTTGCACAAACAGCAAGCAGCCCAGTCTTCTTCTTCCTCTTTCTTCCTCTTTCTTCTTCTTCTTCTTCTGCTTACCACTAGAGTTACTCATATTAGCCGCTAGTAATTTCCTTCTCTATTTTGTGATGGTCTGATTCTCAAAGCCAAGTAAATTCTGTAACAATTACTCTCAAATTCTAATTTAAATACTGTTGTACTTTGAATATTACTGCTTCTATTTCAGATGTGAATTCCTTGTACACTAGAAAGCTTGAAAAAAATGGTCCTTTCAAATTTTTTAATTATACGATCAGCTAATAGAATTAAAGAGAATCTTCCACTCAATTTTTTTTACAGAATCAAGTTGTATGAATCTAAGAATGGACTCTATGTCTTTTAAACATATAATGAGTTTGTTCTGCCTTCCCAGAAGATGTGCACAAGATTATGAAGACACACACATATCAGCTCTTAAAACTCAGCTCTGACGACTGACACCAGGCCTGAAAGAATATTTATTTTAGGTCTCTTAATGCAAAAGTCAGACTTCAAAGCTTAATTTTTTTAATTATAATTTTTATTTTATTTTATTTTATACCTGCATTAATTTCTTCACTGCCTTCCCCACTTTCCATTTTACAATGCTGTCTTTTACTTTGAGCTATCCAGGGCATGAACGCATGAGTAACATCATTCTGCCTGTACCCTACACATCGCTTACAATTCTGTCTCTTGTTGTCAGAAGTATGAAAACCCCACATTCCAAATGTTTCACATTCCAAATGTTACCTATACAACTGCAAGAAACAGACAATGCTTGTTACATTGAAAGCATATTCTGCTATAAGGCAGGGTAACAGTCCAAGTTTCTAATCTAGAATTGCATGATTATGTGTCCATATAAAGTCACAAGCAAAGGTTCGTTTTTATTAAGCCATTTCACCATCATGTTATCTTCATAATAGTATACTCATCTTTCAGACCAAATAACCACATATGATGCAAGAAAAAGAACAAGTACTCCAGGTATTTTGTTGATGAAAAGAATTCCAGAGCACCAGGTTCCCAAATCAATTCACATACAACACTTCGAAATGTAGCATAGATACTTAAAGAAACAGATATTGCCTCCAATGTTACTGAGAGAAAAAAAAATCCATCCCAAACTCACAAATATTTGGAAGTAACATAGCAATCAAAATAGCAGAACAAGGGGAAAAGGAAGGATGAAAAATATAGAGAATGAATGAAGCTAGGATTCTACTTTTGTATTTCAAGAAAATTTCCCAAGATGGAAAAAAACCCCAAAACAACAAAACAAGAAAGCCAGGGTAACACCCAGCATGTTTTTTTCAACTTGACACAAGATTTAAAACTGTCTATTTTGTTCTCCCCTCACTGCTCCATATTTTACTTATAAAAAACTCCTGTTACTCATTATTCAAATTTGAACATATCTTGTCCACCTAAAAAAGAGTTAAGTTCTGAGTTACCAGAGTTACCAGAAAGAAAAGGTTCAAACTCAGAACTTAACTTTGGTGGATGAAAGAATAATTTCCCTAGTTTACCTAGTTTCCCCTTCTGGGCCCATCGAACTCAAAGGTGTATTTTCAGGGCGCCTTATGTTTGAATTGTACCTCTTAGTTAACAAGTATGGATCAAAGGCTGTTAATTTTGGAGGAAAATGTAAGGAAAATAAGTTACTGTGGAGGTAAGAACTCTCCCTAAGAAAAACTTTGAACTAAATAACCAAGGGATTTTTTTTGGTTGTTTTTCTATTATTTTTACAATGTGGACATTCATAATGTGTAATGAAATACTGTGAATATAAATAAAAGCCAGTCACAAATACACACAAGCTACTATGTGCTGTACATCCAGAAAAAAAGTGGAATGATCTGAAAGCAGCAGAAACGCAAGGAGGCCAAGCATATCAGTGTGAGGGCAAAAAGAATGGTGTGACACACCTCACTGCAGCATTTCTGGAAGCATCTCTCTTCCCCTTTCACTTCCCGTGACACTATCAGCAGAAACTCTGACTGCTGAGCCCGGCCACAGCTGTACTGGGAACCTATACTGACAAGCTGAAATAACCAATCAAAGCAAAACACAGAAAGAAACTTTTGTAAAGCTGAAGTACATACCGTTATCCGTACAAGTAACAGATGAGCTCAAACGTTCAGGTAACACTTACTCGCCACTAGAACAGGTTGCTATCAAGCTAAAACTTTCATTTCAATGTAAAATTTACTGAGGCAGTTGCAAAGCCCTTTTTAATTTAAATGGAAGTTAAGAATTACTGATAAGACAGAAAACTCCCCATATAACTGTGTTGTAGCCAACTACTCTAAAAAACAAAGTTTGGTGCGTCGTAAAAGTAACCATTATTTTTCTGCCATACATTGACAAGTGGAGAAGGCAGCAAGGATATAAGACTGGAAGGTGTTATGTAAAGCAATTGTCTTGGTTTGGAAAGACTCTCAATCTGGGACAGCAATATATAAAGCCCGGGTATTAAAGAGCTTCATCTTGTTCCAACGACTGATAAAATATAGCTAAGGAAACGTAAGAAGTCAACAAGAGGAAAAACATTGAACAGTCTAGACGAGTTTTAGAAGGAGTAATTTACAGAAGATCCAAAAAAAATAACTGGAATGTAAAAAATTGTCTTGTTCCCACAAAAATCACTACCACGAACACTGGCCAAACATCTAATAATTTAAAATTCAACCTCAGCTAAACTTCTCAATCTCTTATTACAAAACATATTTTACCTTAATAACACATGGCAATTCCTAGCCCATTTAAATTAAAGCATAGCTTGTCAGTGCACTTTAGAGAAATTAGGACTTTAATTTATATGTGAAGAGTTAGACAACAATTGCCTAATCTGAGTAAACTGTAGATTACAACAGATGAGAAGGCCTATGAATAGTAACTTTACATATAACCTGCCCTTGTGTGTGAATAATTTTGAAGACAGCAGTTAAAGACCATCCTCCTCATACACTGAACATACTTAAAATTACATGATGGTGCCAAACTCAGGTTACATTAATCATTAAAATTTACATGATCAACACTACTGCTGTCTAAAGCATTTCTATTTAGCCACTTCTTATTGCCCACAGTTTTTTATTCTGTTCTATCGCCAAAATACTGTTCTTTCTGATTGCCTGAAGAGGCAACAATTGAAGCTAAAAATTCTCTATAAAATAACCCACAAAAGCGGGGCGGCATAATTTTTAGTAATAGATTTTGGACTGGGACTAATACATAATTGTACTGTTCTAGCAGAGCTTTCAAATGTGTTCTTTGGAAAAGGGCATCAATACATCTGCATTAGTGCACCAACAGTTCGGCACCTTCCACTCCTATTTAGTAACCATATACAATCATATTTAATGATAAAATTTTGAAATGCTAAGCGTAAAAACCAATTTTTTTCAAAACCAACCACTTGAGCATGCTATATATGTGGCTCAGAGCACAAGGACTCTTAATCTGTAAAAATATCACCCTGAAAAAGCTGATGAGTCCATCTTTTTTCACATACAGAGCATGGTGGGTACCGCCCCAAAGACTGCTTCTGAAAGAAAGCATGCTGCTGAGCAGCATGGGCTTAGAAAAAAAATTACAGAAATGCTACAGGATTTGAAGGTATTAACAATAAAACTGTTTATGCACAATATTTAATCTTGCTTCAAGTGAGTACAAAGGAGGGAATGGGCTAGTGTGAGGTAATGAGATGCGAAGTATTATGAGATCATACAGCTGTTGTGTTTATCGAATTCAAACTATGTGTCTAAAAATATTCAACATGGGAGAGGGAGGAAGTAGGGAGACAGCTGGATGAAACAAGATGCAATGTCCAAGAAAACCACTGGATTCTTCCAGTTCTAAAAGAGATTGTAATAAGTCTTTCAGCAGTTGCACTGTCAAAGCAGTTATTTACTCCCAAATACAATATCCCCAAAGGGTTTAGGATAGGTAAAAGGTATGGTGTCATTTAATCTGCTAAGAAGTAAAGGAGCTCTATTTGTAATGAAAGCTAGTTTCTCCTGAAAAAGAAGGAAGTTGAAAAACATTTTTCCATGGACTGGCCAAAAAACAGGGGTTTTTTTGGAGACTTAAACAACATTCAGCTTGTGGCACGGCAAACATACCTGGTAATACTTGAAGCTGAGTACTGAAGTGTAAAAAGCTTGCTCTGTGCCTGTTTAGTCTATTTGCCCATGGCTGCCTCCACATTACAAGCACTTTATATATTTCATCAAATATAAACAAAATGTTCTCATTTACCTTTGTGTCATAAAAATTTTTTAAATGTTGCTTTGTTGTGTTATTAGAGTGAGATTACACAGGATAATGGGCTTGTGTTTATTTCAATTTCTCTTATTGTAAGCATCAGACACTGAAAAAGGTGCTAGCAGATGAACACTTGTCAGAGTTAACAGATTCATTCCTCCAATGCAGTTTTAAATACTCTGCTGGATTAGGAATGTGAAGGATAAAGCAGCTGTACAGTTAATTTCTTACTTACAGAAATTATCAAAGATAACAGACAGATCTTGCGATTTTACAGTGTGTTCTTGAATGTACACACAAAGCTATTTTTACGCGCTGCAAAGAACAAGAACTTTCACACAGCTCACAGCTATCAAGCTTCACATCTACACAGGTAAAGTCCACCCTCCTTTGTGTATCAGTTTTTCTTATCTGAAGAACCACTCTCTGGGCCTGGCAAATATTTGTATCCCAAGCTCATCTCTTTTACCCAGAGCTCTTCATATCTAACCTATCATTCATATAAACTTGTATTAGTTAATTCTGGTTGATTCACCCTTCAACTGCTAATGTGTAGGTACTGAAGAACTACATTTCAGACATGTTGCAGATGTTTTTATAGAAAGGCAGCAAAATTTGCCTCCTGGAAAGCTACATTTTTTTTTGTTTTATGATAAACACAAGTATCACATTTTAATTTCACTGTATATGTTTATACAAATTCTGAAAATGATGGAATAAAAAAAGATGCATGGAATTTAACTTATATTCCTCTTTCACAAAAGGTACTTCATACTCATTTCTTAGAAGGCAGTGTTAACTATATCCCATACGGATTTTTTACCTGTTCAAATTTCCAGCCATCGGACATTGTGGAAACCATTTGAGTGAGTTCCTCTTCCTGACACTGCAGCACTCTGTATACATGTTTGACTGGCACCTTCAAGAAGAAATATAAGATGCTCAATATGGCATGGAATTCACTATGTTTGTGACTTGTCTGAAGTTGCCCTTACTCTCTTGAAATGGTAAGCAACACCACCTTGAACCCATCTAGAGCAACAAATAAGTAGGGCCATTTTAGCTGAGACCTGTAATTAAATGCTATCAGAGCAACCCTGCAATCCAAAAATCTAGCTTCAAGAGAAACTGGTCAATAACAATATAAATTTGTAATATCTCCATGAAGACCAGGGAAGTTACCAGTTACCTGACTAGCAGAGTTAACGAACCAACTTTACCATATTCACTTTCATGGAGAACATGAGCTGCTATGAGAAGAGGCAACCTTCTCAATCACAGAGCATTACAAATAAAGAAAGCAACTTTGCTACAAAGCATATGACAGAAGCTAAACAGCATCTGTACATATGCTACATAAACATACTGTATAAATAGCAGTTATACCATAGTTAGGCAACCTCATCATATTCAGAACATTTAAAAGTCAATGAGAAAGCTATGTTCTACAAAAGATGCTCTTTAACATAACAATTTCCAGAAATTATATTAGGATAAATTCTACTATTACTGAACATTTTGGAACAATTACTTACAAGGTTTTCAGTTTGTGAAAGAGATATGTGAACTTTGTAAGCAGACTGGCAGGAGCCAGAAATTAAAAATATTAATCTCTGTATACTAGTGGTTCTACATCATCCAGTGATGGAGGCAGCCATTCAGTATCTTACTGGGGAAATCAGGAGTTACATAAAAAAAACCAAATGGAACCCACTCACTACTTGTCATGGAACAAATAATCAAAAGCACATGAGAAAACAGCCTCACCTGAGAGATTCTGCTGTCTCTTTCTCTTATTTTGTCCTTTACCAGTTTTATTAGAGATGTGATATTGTAGAATTCAGCCTCCTCCAGTACACCTAGTATGAAAACAGTTTTTGGGAAGACAGTGTAACTAAAGACTCCAGGCCAAAATCATCAACCAGTTCATAAGATTATCTTCTCAACAGCTACAGAAAATTATTTATTTCTACCTATGATAAGGCAGTTCACCAACCTAACAATTCTGGTTTCTTTTCAGGAACATGTAATTCAATGTTTGCTTGTTCTAGAAAATTTTCCTAAAAATATCTCAAAGAAAACTGATGCCATTTCACATACAAAATGAGACAAGAAACAAAAAAACGTGCACAGATACCATTCCATAGTAGACTGCTAAGACTACCAAACCTCAGGCCCTGCCTCAGGCTGGAATGCAAAAGAGAAATTTAAATAATCCTTCTGAAAAATCTCTGCAGCTGCTAGCAAGCATAATTTTTTCTTCCTGTCATTTGAGATCTTAGCTTCTGAAACAAAAGCCTAAAGATATATGCTGCTTCTACTCACATGTTCAAGGCCTATCTGCTCTCCACACAGAGTATGCTTAACAATGCATATGGAAATTATATTTCATACTATTTCCCTCTAGTATTGTTAAATTGTATTTCTCTTTGATAAACTTCTTCAATATGATATCAATACAGTTTTATTACTACATGTTTTAAAACAGTCATCCTCCATTAGGATAAAATTGATACTAACTGGGAACAAGGAGGGAGAAGCTGGGGACAGAATTCAGTCTTTAAAAGCATATTCCACACATCTGAACATGCTAGAACTTCACTTTAGCTTGCTTTACATCTTCTAAAGCTTGCTTTCTAGGCAGCATTCTTTTGCTTAAAGAGAACTAAGAGCAAATATTTCACAGTCACACAGGAAAGATACAAGATTACACAATAAAAGTCATCTCCCCTCTTGTTTGAATACTTATGTTGCAACTGAGAATGGGGGCTGTGAAATCAGGAATTCTACACAAAATGCTCAAATAACCCCATATACTATAAATGTATGATACCTATCACTTTTGCTTGAAACAGATAGAAATGCTACACTGGTTAAGGTTTGCCATCTTGTTCTAAGTTAGTTTTGGTGATTCAAAAGAAGTGAAAATAATAAGTAAGTGGCAAGCAAACAAGATATTTAGAGATGTCTTACCTTCCTCAGCTAGGTCCTTGTTAATAACCAGCTTTCCGTGTCTGAGATAGTTCAGCACTGGCCCAAAGTAGGTTGGGTCTCTGTCTATTAAATAGGCACCTGTTTCATCCTAGATTAGAAAAACAAAAAAACACAAACCAAACAAACAACCGAAAAGAAAGCAAGAGAACACCAAAGCCCAAACTAAACAAACAAGAAACCTCACAATGGTTTGAACATCCAAGTGAGAACTACAAGCTAATATTCGTCTTGCAGCGAGCAGGTATTCAGATATAGCCACATCCCTGAAAGCTGAATTTATTAAAGACAATAAAAGGAATTAAACAATATAACTGTCATGGTATCAGACTGATCAATCAAATAATCCAATACACAACTTCTCTTATCTGATCAATCCCCCTAACTCCTTATCAATGATTAACAATATCGTCAGCATGAAAGATCTAACTGGCAACTGAGAACACCAAAAATTAAGATTAAAAGTAGCACTTAAAACCAGGAAGTCTTGTTTGGGAGCTTGAAGAGTCAGAACAGCTACATTCTAGCAAGATTCAAATATCAGTTTTTCCTTTTACATCTTTGTCTTCTTTTTTTTTTTTTTTAATTAAAGGCAAACAAATCTAATTTTTTTTAACCTCAACACTTTGCTCTAAAAACATTTGCTTTTGTCTTTGGTCAGATGTACAAATACTCACATGTACAAGGGTTGTATATGCATCTTCTAAAAAAAAAAGTATACTGAAGATGCAATTCCTACCTATCTCATGCGGACAAGTGAAGTAATAGATGAATAGGTGAAAACTAATGCTCAATTTACCAAACAGACTACAGAGTTTTGTGAATTGTGAAACAATTCAAGAACTTCACCTGCAGAGCTGATATTCTTGACAAAGAGACAAAGAAGCAAAATTGGTAATTCCTATGGTATTTAGAATCTATGCGTGAACCCCTGCAATCAAGACAGTACTGACATACTTTGTGCTAGCTGGAGATCTAAGGAAGATTCATAGAAAGATTTCTAACTGATCCACTGCTCCTTTCGACTATCAAATGGAGTACTGACTGTATTAATCCATTAGTACATAAGGTTTTGGTGCAATGGATATCCTAAACATATATACTAAAGAGATGTGGCAGCACCCGAAATACTTTTTTACTTATTTTTAAGATTCTAGTAGTTTACAGGAGATACTCAAAAAATCATCATTACCATAATGTGGATAATACTCCCCTCAAAACCATAGGTACTAGCAATAATTGCTCTTCCATATGAAAGAAACTCTACCAACTCAATCCTCTGCATTTGAACATTAATGCTTATATGGAAAGGTTTGATTACTGAACTGTGATATCTAAAAACTCTCTCTACTTAACAATATGTAGAGTTCCTAAAATGATTCATTGGAAAAAAACATCGAGGATGAATTTTCAGGTACACAGATTTAGTTTCTGAATAACTGCACTTGTCCAACCAGGACCAGTAGAATTTAGAAACACCACAGCCTGAACTACAAAAGCCATAAACCCTTTCTATAATTACAGTTAAATGCTTTACACACCTAGACACAGTGTAATTTCAGAAAAAGTGAAGGAATGTATAATTTTGTATAAAATTACCTGTTCAAGAAAATGCTAACATATTAAAACATGCTGTCAGTTAACCTACATTCAGACCAGACAATGCTTGATGAAGTCTAATCATAATTTCTTCTGATCTAAGCTCATGGTCTCACAAAACTATGCATCAAAACCAGTAGATAGATGAAATGGTATAGTTTTAATATTTAATCTATAAATATATTTACATAACTAAAACACTTCAAGAATGTGCAATCTACAGATACAACCCAAGAAATTAGAATAGCTGACAACTGTATGAATTATAAGCTGAAAAGTATTATTTAGTAAAGGAAAATAAACCAGTGAGGTTGGAAAGGAAAATCCAAAACAGACAAAAAGAAAAGAATTTCTATAGAAAATAAACTTGTCATCATCTGAACTACATTAAGAAACACAGGGCTTACAAAACTGGAATTCTTCCCAGTTAGGAAAAAAACAATCTCTAGAAATAATCTTCTTCATTAAGATGATTGTAATTTTTCACACTGAAGTGTTATCTCACATCACCTTTTGAAGCAATACTGGCTGTCAGCTCAACACTACTTCAGAGATAGAGAGGTGGGTGACAGAAGGAAAGCAATTAAAAGCTCTAAACGCAATCTTAAGTAATAATGACTTCACTCCTTGCACAAAAGGCCTGAACATTGTTTTTTAAAGGTCTACATTTGAAATTGTATTTTCTGAGTTGAGTTCTATATACTAAACAAACTTCCAACAAAACCACAAAGGATATAAGCTATGTCAGGCCTTCTCTTTTAAATTCCACCTTATAAGAGGTCATACATGAAAAAAAAAATCTCAGTAGTGTCATAGTTTACTCTCTGAAGCCTTTCAGACAAGGTCCCTTGAAAAATAATAAAAAAGAAGGCACACAAAGTCCTATAATTTTTGGTGCAATAGATTTAAAAAAAAAATTAGAAAATATCAACAATTAAAGAATTCTGGCCAAATTCTAACAGTGTTCAACCCAAATTCTGTCAACAGGATTCACTTAAGCACCTAAATTCCATGCAAAAGTTGCTTACCCAGATTACAGACATAGAAAATATGTATTAATTTACATTAAGAGGAGGATGTGTGTCTTGAACATTGACCTGACAGCTCAGATATGCTATACACTAGCACCAAGGATTCAAAAGCCGAGAGACAAAACAATTTGTCTCACATAAAGGTTACTGTAACCATATGCAAACAAAGCACAGGTGAGTGACCCAAAAAATGTACTCCTTCAGCATCTTCCTATAGGAAATGCCTTATCACTCCTCCTTTTGAGTGAGCTGCCTGAATATCCTTCAGTGTATGCTAAGCACTTCATGCTGAAATCACTAAGAAAGGCCGATTACACTAGCTCTGTAAGGATATTTATGTAAACATAAATCCAATGCAAGCTGACACAGAAGCATAGTCATTTGCTCTACGAACTCTAAAAATATAGGTTGTAAGTCTTTCAGAATATTATCAGGGCTGTTTTCATCCACATGTACATGAAAACACACTGTATTATCACATGTAATTTGCTTTTGACCCTTTTTAATATAAACTGTTTTATTTAAAATAAAATAATAAATTGCAAATGTGATCCAATGTGAACTGGACAATTTAAAGAGGTAGCTAGTTTGCATGTACATAACTAGCTTTAGACTTGCTAGCTTAAGTATTAAAGACTTTAATAGATGTTCCAGTTAATAGACTTGCATAGATGTCCCAGCTATGCCCTATTCTCTGCTAAATGGTAAATTGTTTTTTCTACAAGCTTTGAGAAAGTTTGCATCTTCACTGACACAACTAGTGCAGGTATTCTAAAGCCATTTCCTAAACTTCAGGTGAATACCACAAATGTCAGACAAACCTATATTCTAATAAGGTTTCAAAGTTCTCTCTTTCATATGTATTTTATAGAAACAGGTGTTACTGTTTACCAGAACAACAGCAGAAATTCAAGTTTCCTCTCTATTCAGTATAGTCATACTACCCCACACTTAGAGGCATTTCCTGCAAATTGACATTCTTCATAAGAAAATTCAAAACAAATGCATGTTGTCTTTGTTCATCCAACCTTAAGCTGCTAGTTAATCACAGGACTGTTTGTATCTTTACCCAGTTCTACTTTTGCATTACATTCTTCTCTGAAGAGGTTTTTTCTTCATTGTCTGTAAACTCTAGGCCTTTTTCATGCATATTTACGAGGACACCATTTAGAAGACAGCATTGTCTACATACAGTGAAGATTACATCTGCTCATTACCACTCTCCCACACTACTGTTCAGTTCAAGTTAAAACAACATGGAATTTTAGAGGAAACCTAGTAACTTGCCCTTAAATTTTCAATCACCTGGTTCAGCATACCAATGAAAAGTCAGTGTAGCTCACAATTAACATTCCTTTGAAAAATACTGACCAAAGCAACTAAATTATCATGTATTCCACTTGCAAATGTTTTCACTTCGATCTTTATAGAGACTGAGGCTCAAAGGAATCATAATGAATGCCTACCCTGATCTTAGTTTAAAACACACAAAGAACTCAATTTATTTACAGCGAAATATAATCTTTAGAAAGTAGCAGTGAAACCTAACCATTCCAATAAATAATTACTATCACTGCTAATATTATGTACTTTATAGTTTGATACTTTGCTATCTGGATTTCACAACACCTTTGCTAGACTGAACAGGCTTCACTATTAGATTTCTTGTCCCCATATACATACCTCTGGACTGAGAAATCACCCCTTAAACTTCTTGCCATAAAAAAGTTTTTTCTTTAAAACTTTTTACCAAATCATATTTCACCTTGTGACTAGTCACTGCCCTGCTGTGAACCTTGAATTGCGGATGCTAGAATCCAGTACAGGATTCCAGTAGGACTCAAAAGGTGCACCAAATACATACACACATCTCCCTAATCCCTTTTAACAATCTCCCCAAGAATTGCATTAAAACACTAGCTGAAATGTCATAAATTTATTTCCAATTAATTATCTTCATTGGGATCAATACTGGACCTGGATACACTCAAGTCATACCATCAAGCTCTTGGCTCAAGGCTGTATGCTCTAACATGAATATTTTGATTTTACATAATTTAAAAATTTTACATAATTTACATATTATGAGTTCTGATAAAGGCAGCAATATGCAGGAAATACAGTCGGTTTTGGTACTAAATTTGAATTTATATATAATTGTCATCCTTATAATCTGTGCTTTTTAAATATTGAACTAGTGAATTTTTCACAAACTGTGTGGCCTAAAAACTTTGAGTGTTTGCAGACTAATAGTACTTATCAAAACTACGTAAGTAACACAACCCACCTGACAACTCATAAATCTCATGGACAAATTAAATATATCTGTTACGTCTTAGAATAATGACTACAATTTAGATATTTCTTAATGCTGACAGTCAAGGTTGTGCTACCACGAAGACTTTGATTTTTCTAAACCACTCAGTGCTTGCATGCTTCCTTCTTTGACAGATTCTATGCCAACTTTAAAAAGGCATTAAAAATTAAGCATGAATACTACTGCCAAAACCTTATACAAAAGTATGACAATCTCCTTCTTACGGGAAAGTTAAAAGAATGCTAGAACAGTTTGCAAAGAAAAAACTGGTATACAGCTAAAAAAGGAAGATGCTGAAACAAGGAAATACATGTAAATTATTAGCAGTAATGCAGTAAAAGCATTAAATTAAACAATGATGACAAGGTGATCAAGGCTCTGCTTGTCTATTTTAATGTATTCATCTCTAAACCATTTAGATTTAAATACCATGGAAAACAAATCCTGTTCTGAAAAGTAAATATGACCACTACTGCTCATTTTTTTTCTGAAATCTGAAATGCTTCTCAAACAGTTTTAAAGCTGTGAGTAATATTGTGAAACATACTGAATTCAGAGAGTCAATTTCATTATTCTAATCCATTCAATACTAGTTTGGTCACAGGGTGTGCCAAAGATTAATCTTTCTCCCATTACAAATGGAAACATACCTGACAGCCAAGAGACAGGCTGCTCTGTCCTACTCAACATTAGTACCTGAAGGCAGTTTAAAGGCCAACATGCTACCTTTTTTGAAGCCTCTCTGTTCTTTACAGAAGCAAGCAAGTAAATCACAGAATCACAGAATATCCTGAGTTGCAAGGGATCCACAAGGATCAAGTCTAACTCCTGGCCCTGCACAGCACAGCCCCAACACTCCCACCATGTGCCTGAGCTTTGTCAAGCTCATGGCTTGGGGCCATGACCATTCCCTGAGAAGCCTATTCCAGTATTCAACCAACTTCTTTGGAAAGAACCTTTTCCTGATATCCAACATAAACCTTCCTGACACAGCTCCATGCTGTTCCCTTGGATCCTGGCAGATCCAGAACAGAGACTGAAACTGCTCCTCAAGAAGAACATGCAGACACCAATGAGCCTTCCCTCAGCCTCCTCTTTTCAGCTGAAAAAGCCAAGTGACCTCAGCTATTTTTTTATATGTCTTTCCCTTCAGAAACTTTGTGTTCCTCCTTCAGATGCTAAGAGCCTTAGATCCCTCTGATATTGTGGTGCCCCCAAAACAGAGCAGAATGGGACAATCCCCTCCCTTGCCCAGCTGGCAATGCTGGACAACAGTGCAGGAGACAGTTGGCCCTCCCATTTGCCAGAGCATATGGCATTGCTTTATCTTTTAATTAGGAAACCATAGAGGAATGCTTTCCTACTCTCCCACAAAGACAGTTTACCTATCAGCAAGCCACCTAGATTTTTAAATTTAGTTTTATAGGTTAATTTAAGCTCTCCATAAAAACCTCAACCAAAACCAAAGACAACTAAAAACAATTCCCATACCACCACACTTCAATTTTTTTTTTCTTCTAACTCAGGAACGTTACATTCTGTACCCTATCTTAAGTGTTCAAATATCCTTTCTGAAAGTTATACCTGAAAAACTGATGAAATCTACTAACCTCACTGGAAAAAAAAATTACATATAATAAGCAACTCCTTATTTTCAACCTGTTGGTTACAGAGTTATAAGCTGTTCCTTTCTTTTCCCAAACTGTACTGGAAAATGGCTTTTTGTCCATGACGCTCCAAAATTTCTTTCAGAGCCAGGACTATACACTTTATATCCATTACTACATACCATATCACAAATAAAATCTCAATAACTTTCTTCCCCTACTAAAATTGAATCAAAGTGAATACCAAAATATTCACCCACTACTTGCAATCTATGCAGAATATGCAACATTTTTTCTCTAAAAATTGCTTAAAAGACAATGTTACGTCTAAGTGAGAGATTGTTATCAAAAGTCCTTTGCTCTGGTTCTTGTAATTGAACAAGAGAATAATGACAGTGCAGAAATAACACAATGTCAGTGCATGCAGATATTTCATTAAAACGCTAAAACTAAACCCCATCAGACAACATAAAAATATTACACAAATGTACAAACGACACTACGCTGTCTGCTGTATTTATGAGCAGTTTTGTTATTCACGAACCCAACTACTTCGCACGACATCACTCATTAAGCAAAACTCTTCAGGGAAGACTCCCTCCACGGCAGCAGAGTCGTTCCTGCCTCCCCTCACCGCGGCGCCGGGCCCCGCGCTCCCTTCACGCCGCGGCCGCCCAGGCAGGTGGCACAGCGGGACCGGGCTCAGCCGCAGCGCAGCCCCGGCGCGGCCGGCGGGGAGCGGGCCCGGCGGCGGGGCAGCGAGCCCGAAGCGGGGAGCGGGCGCGGCGGGGCCCGCGCTCACCTTGTCCGAGTCCAGGTCGGGGTCGGCCTGGCAGAGGCGGAAGAGGAAGGACTTAGGGTCCCGGCAGAGCGTCTGTCGAGTGGTCAGAAAGCAGGTGCCCCCCACGTTCAGCCTGACCCACTTGCCGGGCCCCGCGCCGGGCAGCGGCGCCGAGCTACACCGACGGCAGGGCCCGCCCGCGCCGAGGCCGCCGGCCGGGGGCACCGGGAACTCACAGTGGTTCTCCGCCGCCATCCTCGCCGCCGCCGGAAGGGGCCGCCCCGCCGCCCGGCCCCCGGCGCGCCGCCCACCGGAAGCGCCCGCTGGAGCAGCGCCCTGCCCCTTCTCGCCCACCGCCCCGGCGGCGCCGGCGGGGGGCCCCGAGCAGCGGTCACGGCTGCCACACGGCCGCGGCCCGGCTTACCCCATGCCCCTCGCCCCACGGCGGAAGGAAGAGGCGGAGGCCGCGCAGAACCCTACATGCCTTTATTACAGACTACCAAGCATAAGTGAAATCCGTCATCCAGTCACTAACTACACATCTACAGCACAGAGATCTGTCGAGAGGAGAATAAACAGTCATTAAATTATGAGATATGATTAAATCATCGACCAATAGAAAATTTATATAATAAAGCCAGAAAAAAGGTGTAAAATATAGTTTACAATAATTATTCACATTCAAGGCTGTACATCAATACATACAACACCATGGCCCCGAACATGAATTCAATCCAAATAATTCATATATTAGAATTTAAATAACACAGACTGAACTAGAGGCCAACAAGAGCCAGCAAATAACCTTAGAAGAATAAAAATACAAAAGTGTGTATCATATAATTGCATTATTTGCTTCTGTTTTCACAAGTTCCTGGAAGAGGGGAGATTGTTTCGTGGTTTGCTGAGTGGGGGTCAGGGGTTTTGTTTCTTTGGGGTGGGTTTTTTCTTTTCTTTCTGTACATCACAGTTACAGCTACAAACCACGTAGAGAATATTACATGTGTAGCTGACTGCCACCAACCTGAAAACAGCATACAATATCAAAACTGATCGTGGTTCCTCAATCCTAATTTTTCTCTTTTATCAGATATAGTTTTCAGTTCTGCTACCATTTCGAACATTCACCACATCAAGTCTGTTAGTACATGGCCATAGGAAGTTTTGTCAAATGGCAATCATCTACATTCATGGCCCAGCTGACAGAGCGATCTCTCTCTTGACCAGGGACAAGACTTGATGAAATGGCATGAAGCTGAGAGCTTTAGGGTTTGGTGTCAGGAAAAGATCACAGGAGCTTTAGATTAGGCGTCAGGAAAAGGTTTTTCACTCAGAGGGTGGCTGAATACTGGAACAGGCTCCCCAGGAAGCACACTATCAAGCCTGCCTGAGTTCAAGGTGTCTGGCACATGGTGGGATTGCTGGGGAATCCTGTGCAGTGCCAAGAGTTGGACTTGATGACCTTGAATCTTTCTAATTCAATAGATTCTCTTTATGCTAAAATGAGGCTATTGGGTGTTTAAGAACCTCTCCAACTGTTTATTGCATAAGGGTAATTTCTTCTATGAAAGAGGAAACATTCTGAAATTATCAGTCATAAATGAAAACATGCCATTTTGGATTACAGAGCTACTTGTCTGTAAGCTCACTTGATCAACTGATAAACAATCTGCATCATGAGGCTTTGCAGGAGGATTTCCACTTGATTCATAAAATATTTCCATGAAGCATTACAGGCATTCAGCAAAATTTCAGATAAAAATACTGCACCTATTTGTGCAATTTACTAGTAGAAAGAATGATCAGAATCCATCCAGAGGCCACATCCTTAGGCAACTATTACACAAGTTCTCTCCTCAGCAAGGTGTTGAAATCAAATGTTTTTTCCACAGGCCAAATGAAGTAATTGTCTTGACTTTACTAAACCATTCAGAAGAAAATGTACAGGCGGGAAATTCCCATAATTCTTCAAAGTTCCCAGCACAAAAAACAATTGTATCAAACACATTGAATTAAGCATCTTGAACTATGAAAGCTGATTAGAATAATCACATCTTTGTTTCAATCCACAATTCTTTTCAGACTTGTATATAGCAGATACCTCACAATTAAATCACATCAGAAGGAGAAAAGTAGAGCACAGTACTGATAATTTGATCATTTCAGCAACTAAGTGCCTAGCAAATGGAACTGTAATAGGCAATATCAGTCTGCTAACAATGCCTCAACATCACATCTGAAGTAACTCTTTCTTAATACAAAACTTTTACAAAACTGGACTTTAAGGCAAATGGTTACAAACTGATTTCTCAGTTTATTGAAGTAGTCCTTAACTTGTGACTGGGCAGTAGTACTTCATCCTTTTTTGAGCTCCACACCAAAGAAAAAGATGGAATAAATACCTTTCTGAAGTTCAAATACTAAGCAAAGCAAAATTACAACATTATTGACCAGATTCTTCATACATGATTGACAATTGTTGAAATTCAAGAGATGGAATGAATCAACAGATTTGGTTTTCAGAAGGCATGCAGTAAGGAGAAATCTTAAGAAGAGTCTTCAAGTACCTAAAATTTTTTTCTGCTTTGAAAATCTTGGATTAAAAGCAGAAAAATCACCTGGCCTATGTGCAGCTCTGAAGAACCTCCCTTGCACATTTCATTCCATGAACTCCCATGAGCCACAGGAGTGATCTTCAGGACAAAGACCTGATTCTACCCCACATCAAGTATAAAAATTTAAAATGGGTACCAGCCCTTCATGGTATGCAGCACTTCTCAACACACATTTAAGTGGACAAACTGGTAAAACATACTTGAATCCACAATTGCTTTGTGATGCCTCACTCTATACTCTTGTCACTTTTCAAACCCACAGATTCTACACATAGTCCAAGAAATAGAAATATCTCTCCCAGGAAAGTTCTAGCTCTTTCCCAAAAAAGCAGTAACTATGTAAGACTGGATTAGGAATACTGAAGCTCTAAATGGAGTGATGCCTGTAAGAGATGCTTACAGTTTTCCAATAACAGCTTTGTCAATTAAAAAAGAAAAAAGGACTTCTAGAATGCAGACATTAGCATTCCAGATACCTTCTTGACAGCTTACTGCTACCAAGATTTACAAGGCTGGCTGAAAGCTTTTGGTGGGCAGGATGAAAGCCTATGGACAGATTTTCAAGGTGTCAAAAAACATAATTAATTTGCTATGGTAAAATCACTAAAAATCTAAATATTACAGAAAACATGTTTAAGCACACCTAGATCTCTACCTCGTTAACAAGCCAATGGAGGTAATTTTGCCAGACTTTTTAAGTGATGTCAAGTTTTGTCACACTGAACAGCAGTGGCACTGTGACTCTCCATCACTGCCAAACTCTCCTGTATTAAGTTGGGAATATGTCTGTCTAGATCTTAATACCAGAGACTAAATCCAAAAGCAGTAAGGTTGTCTCCAGCGGACACAATACATGGCTGGAATTTGACAGCTGGAGAACAAATGGATAGCACTGCAACAGACTTAAAATACATGTTATCTTGGTTAGAACAGCATGTATAACTCACTACAGACACAGATCAAAGGTACACTATGCTATTCAAATTTGAGTGATGAGTATACTTTGTATGTGATGGAATTTCTCATGATGCAAAGGGAACATTTTTCTGTCTTCCTCAGCCATTTACAGGACCCCTTCTCCCCCTTAACACCAGACACAGTAAGCCAGGGATTTGCTTCTCTCAGTTTTCCATATGTGGTGGGTACAGAAGACTACAGGAATGCAGTTGCTCCAAAAGAAAAGGCAACTGCACTGTCTCTTTTAAAGACTGGAAAAGCTGAACTGCCATCAAGTTCAACCACATAACACAGTTTTTAAGATATCAATAATAAATCTCCTTCACCCTGTAAAAGAAAATATTCTACATTCACATATTTTCTGAGAAATCTGATAAGCTATTGTTCTTAAAATACTGCTTCTAGAGAACAGTAGCCTATGAGTTTTTTCAACATTGTAGAGAAACCTTTCTTTGGTGGAAGGAAAAGCACATCATAAATGTGCTTTTTGTCAAATATCATAGTATGACAACTCAAAATGCAAAGTAATGGTATATGCAATGAGTGAATAAGTAAGTGCGATGTTTATACTGCTTTTAAAACAAGGAAGGAATGCCTTTGTCCAGACCTAGGTCATTCTCCTCTGCAAGGTTTAGGAACACAAACTTGTAGAAAATACCACTGGGGAAGTTTTTTTTCTAGCACACAGGAAGATGTGTCTTTGTAACATGACAAGAAATGTTTGACCACAAAACCAGCCATAATTGGAAAAGGATAAAGAAGATTGATATGAAAAATATTTTCATTTTATAGATATGCTTTAAGTACCATGTATTTTCCCTTTTGTATCAATATTTGGCTTTGATTTTCTGACCAGATTACTTTATTATCTGTATTTCAACTCCTTACAGTTTTTCCAGAGCTCCTGAATATTTGGCCAAGGACCAGAAATAGAATTGACATCTCATTACACAATGAGACAAAAAAAAAAAAAAAGTCAAGTAATCAATTGTACAAAAATTGCACAATTGTACACCTCCTTCTCTACCCAAGACAATAGGTTGGCCCCACTAAAATGCACAACACATGCACAACCTGGAAAGAAAGCTTCTAGCTCTCATCTGCTGAAATGGTGAAAAACTATCTACTATTTCAATAGTAGCCTTTTCTCCCCGATACTAACTAGTTTCTCTTTTAGTTAGCATTAGTTAAAAGCATGCTGGTAAGTTTATTGTCCCTTGATTAAACACACATGACTTATTAAAATTTAAACTTCATGTTTAAAATGCTTCAGAAGCCAACATTCCAATTCTAGAAATTTCAGTGCTATGTTCAGCATTTTACTCTCACAAAAGCTTTATCATTGGAGCCTGTCTGCCAGACAAATGCATCTGATTCATTCACATAATTACTATAGTACCACACAAACCCTGCAACCAGATCTATGTTAGAAATTACGTAAGGGTGCAACCAACCTGGCTATAAATGCCATATACCAATAAGCTGGGGGACTGTGAGAAAAGGAAGAGAAAACCAAGAGGTGGTACTTAGGAGAGGCATATAAAAGGTCCCTGATGAAACACAGTTTAATGATAATCTGAGAGTCACAGAAAACTCCAGCCCCATAAAATGCAAGGCTGGTACATGATTCAGCATGTGTGCGTGTGGATTGGTTTTAATTCATCTTAATTGAAGCTGGTAATGC